ACGGGCAGCAAGAAACGGAGTGAAAGTTTTTTTAAATAGTATACGGGCACAGTATATGTCACGTACAGTCTGAACGATTGAAAAACCTCTTCATAATTTCGGACGTACCAAGTGCGTCACTAGTGCTTCTGGGGTACGTGTGACTTATAAGTAATCAATTTCGTGCACCAAAAGTACGGCCCGTACTTATGCGCATGGTTAGCACGTGGCAATTACACCCAATGAACATGAAACTCAAGTCAGTAGTGTGTATTATTGTTTTGCCTGCGGCATATCTACCAGAGAAATTGAATATTTTCATTTAGTTTAAAATATGGCACCTAAAATAAAGGGCTCAAAAGAGTAAATCGACTGCTCCTTCAGAGAGGGGACAGCCAAGAGGCCTCTCAAATGGTGTATCAGAATGTCAAATGCATTCTCAACAACACGGCGTGAACCGGATATGCGGTAGTTGAAAATACGTTGAGTTCTTGTCATCTCATGAAGGCTGTAGAGGGCTTCGTTAAGTTCGCAATGGGACGGCGTCATTTCTCACCAAGATGTAGGGCTTGTTCCTGCCATTCTAAGGGGAGGAAGACCAAGCTCGTCATATTCCAGTGCAGACGACTGACTTGATCACTTGAAGACCTCGCAGTGCTACGCCGACCCTTTGGCACAACCCGTCCACAATAGTTCCAATGTGTGGCAAATGAGCTGTTATATGTTGGCAGTCTCAGGAATATTAAAACGTTCATCTCTGTAATCCTGGTATACCTCTCACACCCACCTCAGGTACAATCATGCAAATGGCATTGAATGAAAACGCAAGTTACTTGAAACTATTCCCTGTAGCCCAGACTCAAGTGGAATGTGAATGGTCAGTTTCGTCACAATTTAAGCATCACACTCACTGCAAACATGTCGGGGCATCCCCATTTACGCCAGTCTAATTACGACTCCCTCTGTATAAAAGTATATTGTAGAGATTTTATGCATTGATTGCACGCCACATGCAAATGTAGTAAGGGAGGTGTAGTTTTGACTTGCGGGCCACAATGATAGTAAATCATGAGTAGGCCTACTTGTGTAGTAGGTCTAATGCATGTAACCCGTACACAAGCTTGCTGTCATCGCAAAGCCCCTTCTAGATTTGCTCCCGACTTGCTTTTGTGAATTTTCGGAGACCCGTAGAATTTGTATGTGGAGGACCAAACGTCTATACGCTGAGTTTGTGATCGCCTATGGTGCCGAACATACGCAGGTGACGTGCTAGTCTCACCCACGGGTTTACAATAAATTCCCCCGTAGTAGCACCCATGGCGGGTTGTGAGCTTATGGAAGGGTATCGCTGCCAATATTAAATGCTCTGATACAATGTCTTTTCCATTGAGTATGTAAAAAGTGCAATGTACAAAGTCCTAAAACCGGTAATGATAAAGTCAAAATTTCTCTAAGACAAGAGTTAAATGTAAAACGTCAAATGTTAAGTGTCAAATGACAAATGTTTTGTTGACGTGTCTACATTTTACATTTCTCGCATTACGTTTTATATTTGCGCTCCGTCACATCCCATTCTACATAGCATCTTTCGCACGGCATCAACTTTCATATGCAAATGTAGGATATCACGTGACTTATTAACATATACAGAAACCTTGCACACTATAAGGATTTTCACCTGATACTGATAACAGTAAATCAGGCTGGCACACTTGTAGAAAGCGTGAAGGACTAATGGGATGTGACAGAGCGCAAATGTAAAATGTGTGAGAGAGAGGGAGAGAGAGAGATGGGGTTTAACGTCCACTCGACACAAACTAGGTCATTTCGGGACTAACATATGGTTCAATTTTATTTCCATAATTCGCTTGCGCGTAGCGGTTTTTAGCAGTGGGAGGAAAACGGAGCAAATTTAAAATGTAATGAGAGAAATGTAAAATGTAGACACGTCAAAACAAGCATTTTCTCTACAAAACATTTGTCATTTGACACTTAACATTTGACTTAGTTGACCTTTCACATGATATAGACCCACTTCCACACAAAAAGCGATTTTGCTTACAATCAGGGGCCAAAATCCAGGAAGTTACGGTTCTACATGCTCCAATATCAAAGGATCAGAGATCTTTGGGGTATAAATATATGTTAAGTATCATCAAAATCAGATAAAAATTATGACCTCTCTTGGTATTACATACGTTTACACTAATTACGTAAAGTGAGCGGCCATTTTGTCTGACAGTTTCGGTTCAATTTTCATGAAATTTCAATTCAAACGTTATTATGTTGGAACGGTGATATATTTAAACGGTTTTTAAGCTCGGATAAAAATTGTGTCCTCTAGATTACACAAGCTCAAAACGTGATTTTTCGAACAATCAGGGGTTATAATCCATGAAGTTACGGTCCGATATGCTCGAATATCGAAAGGAAAAAAGATCTTTGGGATATAAACATCAAAATCGGATAATAGCAAGGCTTGGAGGCCTTTTTTTGAATTCCTCACCACAAGAGTTCGCAAGGTATTAGATTTAGAACGAATTCCCCTTAGACACCTGTTCTACGGGATTTTCTATTACCATAAAAACAATTATAATAGTCAGGTTCTAACACACTAATGCCCAAAAGTATAATGTTAAACACCATTTCATTTCTATTGTACTAGCGTTTCAAATAATACTATACAGACTAGAGTAAATAAAACAACATCCTGGATCAGATAACATTATTTTTATGTAATGAAACTGTCTATGTTTTTATTAGTATAATTTACATCCCACTCCCGTGCGATGGAAAAAAGTCTAAAGTTTCATGAAGCTATATTTTGCTTCTTTTTTTAAAGTAAATGTTATTTATTTATTTATGTAATCTTGATGTTGATGATATTACGATATGATGTGTACATAAAAAGGCTTGTAGAATTTGGTAACATCAGGATATTTTAATTTTGATCACCAGCTAGAATGAAAATACACTGTAAATGGGGTTGAACGTATTGCTTTTCTGCTACTGGAATAATGAAGACGGGCATAGGCCGGGTAGTGTTTCGCGAGGGAGTTATTGACAGCACATCAATGTTGCCACCGAGTCTTTTTCGAATTCCAGTTGCCAAGTTGTTCTTGATGTATATGTCCACATGTTAACCACGGTTTCCCCCCAATCACCGATGATGTACCGTGGATCCCAAAGTGGCCCGGATAATCGCGGTTAGACGATTTGACAATGCATGGTTCACTCGAACTATTCCCAAATATACGCGCTGAAGGCAATCTGCGCGCGAAAGAAATTCCGACCGCGTTCGTATTCCTGTTATTATAAACAACTCTGTTTAAAATTAGTTAAACCAATCAAATGTTATCGCCGAATTCACGGTGGCGCTTTGTGCAAACGAACCAGTTACCGCGACCATACAATGTTCCTGACGCACAAATCACTCTTTCTGGAAGGTTACAAATACCATGTTCAGACGGTGTGTATTTTGGTCCAGTGACAGTTGTCTGCATGGTAAACTGCATAGTTGAACAAAGCTCAAATAGCTGGCCATGTCTCTTTAAACTAATGTCGCATAGAAATATAAACAGTTAAGGTCTGAACAGGAGATGTGTAGATGAACTGATAAAAATAGCAGAAAATAGGACACATAAAGACATTGAAAGTTACATATGCGGAACGAAATAGGACAGAAAAGAAAGATGTAGAAGGATTATGTTTCTGGGTAGACGGTAAATATGATTATATGTGCATTACGATGTAAAGGAATTGTAACCGGACGTCCTTAATTAATGTTAATTATCCAATAAAACTAAAACGCCTGCAGTTACCATTAAAACAAAGATCTATGTCTTCTTCCCTCTACCTTATATCGCGGGCGAACGTGGTCGAAAAGCATAGATTCAAATTTTAAAATATGAATCACTGAAATTCAAAATGTAATGGTTTTTTTTTTTTTTTTTTTTTTTAATTTAAACAATTTTTTATTAGAAGAGATGGGGTTTAACGTCCACTTGACACCAACTTGGTCATTTCAGGACTAACGTAATATAGTTCAATTTAATTCAATACTTCGCTTGCGCGTAGGGGTCTTTCGTTGTGGGAGGAAACCTGAGAACCCGGAGTAAACCCACGAGGTTGGACAAGCGACCCCACTCCTTGTCACGTTCAACCGGGGATTCGAAACCACGCCAGTTGACTCAATGACAAACCTTTTGATACAGCGCGCACCCCCCCCCCCCCCCAAATTGGATTAATTAACAGACAAAGGCCTATATAAGTTCTCTCCAAACATATTAAACCTTATGTTTACAATACAAAATAGTGGACATATGTATAGGCAATGAGTTACAAACATATATGCATTTCTTGGAGTGTAATGGTTATATATATCGTACATTTAAATTAAAGGTTACATAATGCAAATATAGTTTTAATAATTAAAGCTTTAAAACCGCTTGCTATCTTTTATAAATATTTGCACTATTTCAAATACGTTACAATTGGTATCTACTGAAAGATCGGTGGTGCCATATAGAATTAGATCCATTGTAACATTTTGTTTTGGAGAAATGTTCTTGGGGCGGAGTAGGATGGACATATGAAAATATAATGGAATTACCTTCGTCTGTAGAATTACTCCTAGGGCACGTTTGTGGGCTTTTAATATGTAGATTGTTCCAAATTTTAATTGTACAGGGAAAGAAACTATTAGAATACGGGTGTTCAATCAATATAAATCTCGGGCATCCAATGTCCTTGAGAGTTGATTATAGGCTAAGCATGAGAAACATGTCGGAACAATAGTTTACATCTTTGAAGTCGAAAGAGAGATTTACTATAGGCAAATTTAGCTCTTACATAATGCAGGGACAGTGATTAACGACATTTGTTGCGGGGGCGGAGCGGGGGGGGGGGGGGTGTAAATGTAAGCTTCGAAAAACTATTAATACACGACTTCGTATTAGACTTATTTTGTTGTCTTGACTGACAAAACATTGGCTGAAAGGATATGACAAACGTTATAACAATTCAGTCGTAAAATAATATTATTTAACAAAAATTATAATCAATACAAAGATATATTCCTTTTCGAAAATGGCCTATTTGATTACATTATTATATAACTATAAAACTTAAACATGGATACAATAGAAGCAAAGTGATAAATAACTAAGAACATTTACATGCACAAAGTAAACAAAAAGAAATTGGTGAGCTTTTATTTCAAAACAATCAAAAAACACCTTTATTTGTAGAACCTTAATGGCAAAACTTTACATTCATAACATTTTTTTCTTACACTATTTGTTAAATATATACATATTATAAGCATACAGAATATAATTATGGGAACTGAAACATGCCGAGGCTTATGTTAATATAATACTATAGGGGTTGTTTTAGTTCTGTGAAAGGTGTTAATATATTGAAGTAGTTAAACAAATGGGTGAAAACGAGAAATGGACTAAGTAGGTATTTTTCCAGATTCAACTTTCCTAGACTTATGTTTAAACAGAAAACAAACATATGAATCAGCAATTACTTGTCGTTGTCAGCTTCTTCATCACTACTATTAGGTGGTGTTGGTTGAGTTGGTCCACGTTTAGTATAATCAATACCATTATACTCTACAGCATTAACTTGACCTCGTACGGCTGTTGTTGGATGATGACCATCAAAATCAAGATCGGCATAAACAACATCCTTTTTCTTAAAGGTTTCGGCTTTTGCTTTCTGTAATAAAAGAATACCGATGTTGGGATTCTCACAGTCTATGAACTATTAAATTTTATGGCGGTGATTTACATTTAATACTGCAACGGATTGACATCATTAATACGGGTGGGACTTTTTCTGTCTTATCAATTCAGTCAGCGTTATTATCTAGACCAAAATCTTTCAACAATGTATAATCTTTGGTGATTTAAAGAGGCGCGATAGCCAGTCTCATATTCTTTTTATGAAACTATTCATAGAAACCAAATATTTTAACTGCTGTGGGAAATAATTCGAAAATATTAAATCTTTCGGGATTGACTGTAGCTTTCCGATTCTGTGTCTACACCTATAATTGCAGAGTAAGTTTAACTATACCTGAATTAAATGGTTTTCATATTGACTTGTTGCCATGCCATGGTTGTTACTAAAGATACCAACATTTTCATTCGCATCCCCTACAAAATTCAAGTATAACTACAAATCAACGAGTCTTAATAGAACGGGTCAACTGGATCGAAATGATAGCATTTACTAACGTATTAATCGAGCGCTTAACATTTTAGTCCTTGTCGGTAGCCAAAATATTGAGAAATTCATTGATGATGGGGAAGACGGTTCAAGTATCCGGTTTGTATTTTGCTCTAAATATGCCCATTGTCTGACTCCGTAAACCCTGAACACAACCACGATTTATTTATATTGGTGCATAGCCATATCTCTTTTTGACCTTGGCCTTTCAAAGAAAGTGGGGGACTATAAAAATGAGACCATCATTCAATTTGGGGCACAGTAATTAACTATCCTTTTAATTGAACGAAAATGTTCAAACTTGGTGGAGGTTAATGCCTTCATGGGGGTTTGGCGACGAGGTTACCCTGCTTAGGCTAAGCGGGATAAGCCATGTGAGTGGTCGATGCTTTGGGGCACGGTTACTTTGATTCTAAATAAGTGAGAATAATAACACTCGGTGTATAGTTTCAATACATCAATACCTTGACTACTTAGTGCAAGCAGGGCAATACGTAATTCTATTTGCCGAGATTTTGGAGCTCAATTACGTCACTAAGCGATTTGATCGGTCGTGACTTTGACTCTTTACGCCACCCCACTCTTGAGAACTGCGTACTATTATACGCCTGTCATTTTATTCACTGAATTATGACTACTTATATGAGGCAATCTTACCCTTAGTTGTCATTTTTTCATTTGGTTTACCGTTGATTTGTGTTGGTTTGACATTGGATTTCTTAGATTTTATATCTGGTTTCTTAGATTGTGCATCCTTTTTCATTGTTTCATCTAAAATACAGAGGCGAGAATGATCCGTCCCACGTTTGAATTATTAGTATTATCATGACACAATTTGCATAGCACAAACTTCAGGATAAATGATATGTGGGATTAACAATAATAATATAAAATCTTATAATATTAAAGAATGTGGCTGTTCTTGTAAAAAGAAGTGATATAAAAGTTTCATAAGGCTTGACACGAAGTTTGGTTGTCATGGTCGTAAGGTAATCCTTTTTTAGAGAACCGTTTGTTGTAAATTAAATTATTGCTATTAGTGTACGATAAATTAATTTTTCAGATAGTTGTGGTTATTATTAGCTAAAACAAGAAAATATAATGTATAGTGTCCGCGAATGAATCGACTGAGAAAGAGTGTTGTTCGCCCACAAAGATTCTACATTATCAAAATAGCCGTGCAAAGCGTCGAAATACAGCTTTGTCTCGAAAAACAGATTATCTGAAATTAAAGGAAATACCATTCTGCTCCAGCTAAGCTAAGCCTACTCTTATTTGAAATTCCAGCTGTCAAGGGTATTCTTACGTATACAGGGCCTTGGTTTTTCCATCGGAAGGACTATAGTTGCCCCTTGCCATGCCCTCCGTCATGCAAGCGGAAACCACATATGAACTTTCTCGGGCAACACCCGGATCGAACACGGAACCGCCAGGTCAGCGAGCCAACGCCTTACTCACTGAGCCACCGCGACTCCTTATCCTTATTGTTTATTCAAGAAATATAAACAGTGTCGTGTTCAGAATCTAAGAGCGGACGGTTAGGTCTGGAACATGAGAAAAGATCCCCATGCTTCACACTAACTTTGAAAAAGAAAATATCTGTTAAAAATTGTAGCATCTATTTTGTTAACAAATTAAAACTTTCTCCCTATAAAAGAATGTAAAATATATCTTACCGGTTTTAGTCTTATTAACGGTTGCATAAAGCAACTCTGGATTTGGTTTTGTTTCTGCTGTTTTTTTCAACTGGCTTACTTGTGTACATGTTGACGTACCATCCTTTTTAATTTCACCTGGACTATCATGAACCACTGCATCTAATAATAAAATGGTATAACTGTCACTAATAATATAAAGATGCCTTAACTACAAGGTGTAACATTGGTACAGTATATTGGGAATGTAAAGGTTCAATAAATATACATAAATTTAAAAAAAAGAAATGAAGTGAATTGAAAGTGGAGGTGGGGGAATTACCGTGCTACTTCGCTGCGCGGAATGGGCTAATAAAGACAGACAAAGCAATACAGGTTGCGAAGATAGACATTTTTTCAGGACAGTGGCGCTACGGCCTACACTTTATTTCAAATTCCAACTATCATGAGGTTTTCGTTACGTGCACAGAAATAGGTAAACGGGACATCGGTTTTTCGTACCATCCAAACGACTAGGCACTTCATTATTCGGCCCTCCATCGAGGGGGAACCACGCCAGAAAATCGAAGGAATTTTCTCGACCAACACCTGGAGCGAGCCACATTGTCAGTAAATGTCAATTTGTCCTGGAAATACTTACTCGTTTCCTCTTGTCGCGTAGTTGTGACATGATTATGGCTGAAATAAAAAAATTCCATTAAACATGACTTTTAAAATCATTAGCGATTCGTACACACTACAATATATATATATACAAAGAAAAGGTATCGCAACACCCCTATTTCAAAAAAAATAGTACTAGTGTTTGATTAGTATATATAGGTTAGCTATTTGGCGTTCTGGAAGGTATTTGATCGTCCTGAACTTCCTTCATGAAACAGTAAACCAGCAAAACTAAAGTTAAATAAGAGGATTTAATGTGTTTCTGTCGAGTTTAAAAAATAGAGGTGGAAAATAGGTACAATTTTAACCAATTCCAAATAATAATTTCATTTCAAGTCAATATCTGGTGCAGCTTGGAGCAGCACCCTCCTCCTCAATGACTGAACGTGAATGAGCCCTTGGATATGAACCAACGTACGCCTGTGATATTCCTGGTTAACTATGGAGTACATTTCGTTAGAATTTTGCACCAGGGGGTTGGGATTACCTAGTGGTCTAGAGTGTCGTGCTTCGAGATGTAGCTGGTCGGTCACCTCTGTCTTGCGGTCGTGATTTCGATCCCTTGTGTGACTAGGAGATAGGGGCGCCTTCTCAACCTCGTGGGTTTACCCTGGGTACTCCAGTTTCCTCGCACAGGCACGACCCCTGCGCGTGCGGAAAAATAGTCAAACTAAGATAAATGGGGTTTAACGTCCTACTGTTCTGCTCATAAACTGGGCTAATGAAGACTGGGCCCTCATTGGAAGCGGACGTTAAAGACTAATAGAAGAAGACAATTCTGCATCGGTTGATCTCTCTGACAGACAGGATTTACATCCAAGATATGCTCAATGGGTTTCGTCGTCGACAGTTCTCGCCAGGTGGCGTATGTGTGTTAGTGAGATATAGAACAGAATGGCTTACGAGGATCGACTATGGTTCTTAAAAACGAAGCCGATAGAAGATCTGAAGATCTGCCAAACCTTTGACCCATCAAACGACCTTGCGGACAATATCTGCTTTAAATTGAGTCAAAATTATGAATTCTAGAAAGTTTTAATGAAACCGTAAATATTAAACATCCATGGAATCATTATGAAAACAAAAGGGTAGGTTTGGGTTTATTTATTAATTCACTAATAAAGACGATATCGCCATCGCTGCATGAATTGTGGTCAATATACGTAACGGTATTTTGCCTTATTTCGTTTAAACAAAATATACTTAATATCGAAAAATATCAAAATGTATCGAAACTATTGAACAGCTACCGACAAAAACATGGCATACAATATTACACAGAAAAACTACTAGATACAATAGTACCGAATAAGACCTACCAATAAATGAAATAAAATAACTAAAATAAAATACAGAAATAATTTAATAAAGTAAAATAAATCATTCGACCAAATACCCCGTGGTCAACCAAATATATGATCAAAATAACTGTAGGAACCCTTAGAAAAAATACCTCTGGTAAAATACCCTCAGGACAAATCCTCTAATCAAATACCCCCCTGTCAAATTCCCTTCGGATAAAAAGTCCTAGGACACTCCCGCCTCCTACCGCCCTCTAACGTCAAATAACCGCTTACAATTAGCAAACAAACAGCCCCCACCCCCGCAAACATATATTCTCGACATATAATACCGACACACATTCCCCACGAAATACCCCAAAACAACATTTTCCCAAAAACATTAATTAAATGTTATGGTGTACTAATAAAGGCACATTTACTGTATCTATGAAAATCGCAATATTTTCAGGAATTTGTAGTCCAAAACGAAATATGAATAATTTGTCAAAATTTATTGAAAAGAGAAGGCTAGTCGCCATCCAATATCACTGAAAAGGGGAAACAACTGACTACCCGGAGAAAACCCATGAGGTTGGACAGGCGACCAGACTCCATATCAGTCTAGATTAGTTGGTTAACGTGGTACCAAAAGAACCCTAAATAGGGATAAACAAGCCAACAGTGAGGCTGATGTCCCCCGCCGAAATCCCCAAATAAATAGAAGACACATATTAATTAATCGCACATCTATTTTTTCAAAAGTATCGAGCAATCAAACTGATTATTAACAATTCACTAAGTTTCATCACTCTCTATCAGATAGAATCAAAGTTATCTTGTCCCAAAGCATCGACCAAGGATATTCTTTATATCTGCGTAGCTTTAGCCCGATATGTTAATCATTGAACTCAGTAAAGACGAACATCCACATCAAGTTTAAACATTCTACCTCAATTAGAAGCAGAGTTGTTATGTTCCAAAGTCTTGACTAATCAAAATGCTTATTGCTCCTTAGCCTAAGCAGACAATTCTCATCATCGAACTTAGTCAGGGTATTGATGTAATGAAACTAATTAAAAGTAAAGTTATCGTGTCCCAAAGCACCTAATAAACACCTACACCAAGTTTGAACATTTTAGCTCAATTAGAAGGAAAGTTATTGTGTTCCAAAGTCTCGGCCAATCAAATTGCGTTTTGCTCCGCTTACTCTAAGCAGAAAATGCACATTATCGCACTTAGTCAAGGTATAGATGTAATGATACTATACACCAAGTTTCATCACACTCACTTAATTAGAACTAAAGTTATCGTGTCCCAGAGCATCAACCAATCAAATTGCTTATCTCTGCTTACCATAAGCAGAAAATGCTCATCTTCGAACTCCATCAATAAACACCTACACCAAGTTTGAACATTCTAGGTCAATTAAAAGGAGAGTTATTGTGTCCCAAAAACTGTGACGGACTGACAGACAGACAGACGGACGAACCCATTTTAATAGTCCCCTGCTTTCTTCGAAAGTTGGGGGACAATAAATGAGGGATATACCATTGTAAGATTGGCAAATATATTTTGATGGGGATAAGATCGCTAAGAGTGTTAATCCCGAGAAACGTTTTTCTTGTAATAAAGGTATATTTTTAAAACATTGCTAACAAGAAAAGGGAAACCCCATCTAACCTATGTCGCATATATAGTCAATGGGACGAATCCACGCCTGCCATTAAACCATGTAGTATCACCCCATCATCTAAAACTGTAACAAGCGGTTACCATGCAAGAAACGCCCACATTTTACAAGATATGGACAGAGAACACGGGCCGACATACGGCAATATCAAAAAGAACTAAGATCTTTGGTATATAAATATATATTTTATGTGTACGATAAACCACGAGACTGAGGTTAGGCCGGGGAAAGAAAAACAGAAGGAAATAACCCGTGAAAAAAAACCGAGGTCGGTAGGCCGAGGTTTTTCTGTCGAGGGTTTTTTCTGAAGTCTTTCTTCCCCAGCATAACCGAAGTCGAGGACTTTATCGTGCTTATAAACCGTCTATGTTTACATGTACGCAAGATGAGAATATACCAGATTCCCCGCAAGAAAAACCTTTTAATGGAATAAAACCCTACCCTGGAAGAATAACCCGTTACAGGTTTAAAGAAAAACTTTCAGAAGAATAACCCCAAATATATCCAAAACAGCCCCCCCCCCGACTTTCAGACCGCCAGTTATTCCGGGCATAGAATATACCCCAAAGATCAAGGAGATTTACCATTACAAGTTTATAAGTTCCATGATAATCGGATAAACAATCTAGGTATTACATACTTTTACACTATTTGCGTCCGGAAAGTTCCCATTTTGTTGGGAAATTTCGGTCCGATTTTCACACAATGTGAATTCAACCGTCATTCGGGTGTAACGGTGATATATTTAACGATGTTTATAGTCGGTTAATAATTGTGACCTCTATAGGGTTCCACAAGCTCAAAACGCGATTTTGCGTACAAACAGGAGCCATAATCCATGCAGTAATGGTCCGATATGCGCGAATATCGACAAGAACCGGGATCGTTGGAGTATAAATACTTTTCATCAAAATCGGATAAAAATTAGAGTGTCCACAAGCTAAAAACGCGATTTGTCGAACAATCAGGAGTCATAATCCATAAAGTTACGATCCGATATGAGTTAATATGGAAAGGGACGGAGATTGTTGGGTTATAATCATATATACATTTCAAATTTCATCAAAATATGATAAACATTGTGACCACAAGCTAAACACGTGATGTTTTGTACAATCAGGAGCCACAATACATGACCTCATTGTCCGATAAATGCCATTATCGAACGGAGTCGAAATCTTTGGGAAAATATGCTATATTTTAAGTTTCGTCAAAATCGGACAAAAGATTGTCCACAAAAAGGACAGGACCGACAACAATATACAACCACGTGAAAATAACGACGTATAAAAGCTACTACTTACACATTTGGTGCATATTCTTTATCGTGACCTATGACAGAAAATGACGTTGATTTTTTATTTACACACAATATATTTATTCCAATTCATATGAATTCTTATTCTTATTAATTCGTAAATTACCTCAGAGGTGTGTTTAGCATCCACATCTCGTGTTTTATACATAAATAGTTCAAGCCATTAACCTACCGTCTTTCTTGTTGACACGTTTACGTCTTTTATATAGAACAACAACTAAAATAATAATCAGTATGACCACACCAACACATACGATAATTCCTATTATTAATCCAAAATTGGGTCCTGTCGATGTTGGTGATTCCACTGAAAGACATAATTCTAATGACAATTAAGTGACAACAAATTATTTCGTTCGTTAGACGGTCGATGTTGGTCACTGCGCTGAAAGACATATTCTAAAGATGAAAAAGTGATAAATTATTTCATCAGGGGTTCCATATCGAAAGAGTGAAAATATTGGCATGCCTGCGTGGACTAAAAACAATAATACCAGATATAGCATTCAACAGAATATACGTTTATCATAATGTTCTTGTTTATAAGGTGTCGAACATATTTCAACAATTATTCTTGTACTCAAGATTCAGAAGCGATTCCTAATACAATCATCGAGGGCAAATACTGATGACTGAAGCACAAGTAATCAGTCACCATGTCTATATCGTTAATGCATGACTGTAATGTATCTAGAACACCTGCCTATCTTTAAAGTTTGTATTATATCTAGTTTAACTACATGTCTTTAGAGTTTGTATTGTATCTAGTCTACCTACGTATCTTTAAAGTTTGTTTGTAATACAACTGGTATACCTACCTGTCTTTAAAGTTTGTACTTTAAAAGAACCATTAGATAACATCAGATAAACTGGTTGACTATCACCATATTTATTTCTAGCAATAACTCTAATATAATATGGTGTATCAGCTTGTAGATTCTTTATACAATAGTCAGGTTTAGATTCTAGTAGAGGTGTAGAACTAGTCCAGGTTTTATTATCTACTGAATGTTCAACGATAAATTCTTGTTGATCTCCACCATTAAGTCCTGGTGTCCATGTAATACATATACTGTTGTCACTTGGTGGTGAATATCTGATGTCAGATATTAGATCAGGTTGCGCTTTAAAATATATTGTATCTACATACTATAGTGTTTTAACATTAAAACTATATATAAGTGAGATGGAGTATTGTTTGTATAACAACTGATAAACTGGAAGTTTGACCACAAATTCATTTATGAAGTTAGGAAACCAACTAGATCAATTGATATGTACTGATGGTTAAACTTCTAGTCTATTGACCATAAAACAATCAGTAATCCGTATCCCGCAACCGATATAAAATATTGATGAGAATATCACCGGGACCCTAAATAATATTTGACAAAATATGCATGTAGAAAATTAGAACTAAAGATCAGTGAATTTCTTAAATTTTAAACAAAATGTGTCATATTAAATACAAATTAAAATATAATCAACAATAAAGTGATTAATCTTTAAGTGGCATTTAGCGATTGGGAAACACTTTTGTGTTTGATAACGATAAGAGGATACTTGTCGAAACGTCGTGCTTTTAGAATAAACCAGTGATTGTTATATATATATATACTATTCAAAAACAGTAGGGGATATTTGATTTTGGGGGCATAATACTAAAATATGCAAATGACTACGAAAAAAGTCACTATAGAACCTAACAGAAGAAACATTTCCAGTTACATGTGACGCCCAAACGCACCAATAGCTACCGCATGGAATGCAGGTGATGCTTGGGATCATCATGGGGGTCCAACCCAAGATTTGCACGACTCTGACTTTGAATGTTACAGTCATTGTGGCATTGAATTCCAGGGTGGAAACATCAGTTTAATTGTTTTAGTGACCAGAAAACAAATTTTGATATGCGTCTGTCATAAGCAGGCTATGGTCCAGATACCGTGATACACAATCTGTACAGGACAGACCACGCTCAGGTCGACCAAGGGCGACAACTCAAGCCCAGGATCGATTTATCCGTACCTTGGCCTTGAGAAATCGTGTCATCACAGCAAATCAGATCAGCGCTCGTCTTCAAACAAACACTGGTGTGAGAGTGAGTGGCCAGACGATTCGGAATCGACTGCATAGGGGTCACCTTCGCGCCCGACGTCCTCGCGTGATCCCTTGTTTGAGAGATCATCACATTCAGGCAAGACGTCGTTGGTGTAGGGATCGTCAACACTGGGATAATCGACGCTGGAGCAATGTGATGTTTTCAGATGAGTCAAGGTTCACTGTTGATTTTTTGGACAGACGTAGGAGGGTGTGGCGTCGTCGAAACGAGCGCTTCCAAGACGTTAACGTCATCAGACATGATCGATTTGGGGGTGGTTCTGTTATGGTGTGGGGAGGCATCACTGTTGCTGGAAGAACGGCTTTACATGTTGTTGCAGGGTGTGTTACAGGCCAGTACTACCGGGACAACATCTTGGCAGTCCATGTTGTGCCGTTCGCACGACGTCATGGCCGCCGTTTCATCTTCCAGGATGACAACGCAAGATGTCACAGGGCCAGGATCGTTACAGGTTACCTCCAACAACAGAACATCACCACATTACCTTGGCCAGCACTGAGTCCCGACCGCTCCCCCATCGAGCATGTCTGGGACATGCTTGGACAGAGGTTACGTCAACGTCAACAACGTCCTGCCAATGTCCAAGAACTTGCTGCTGCGTTGCAACAGGAATGGGACAATCTGGACCAAAATGACCTTAGACGTCTCATTAGGAGTATGCCACGTCGGATCAATGCTTGTTTGGCAAACAGAGGAGGATTTACCCGTTACTGACTTGGTTGTGATGCTGTGGTAACTTTGCTGTTTGACCCCGGGTATCATTTTACCCTTATAATGGTAAGTCTGTGCCTTACTTAGTCTAACGATCATTTGGAATAAATCGATGAATGTGAACTTCATTTCATTTTGTCATTTGTTTCTTCGTCAGTTTCATTAGGTGACTTTAATAACACTTAAAAATCAAATATCCCCTACTTTTTTTGAATAGTATATATATATAATATTTATATCAATTTTATAATGTCAGTTTATATTTAAAAGGGTAAATAAATCATTTATACTACAGAATGTTATATAAGTATACTTTTAAATAGAATGTTATATAAGTATACTTGCAAAAAAACATATTCTTTCTTTTCTTACAAATTACAAATCAGTACTGCATTTTACAGCCTTTTTGCGTCACTGCTTTGGAGAAAGTCGTTTTATAAATTAGGTCGTCAACTCTTTATTTTAGGCCGTAGTACCGATGTCCGGCCAAAATTTCCCTCATAACACATTGTATGGCATATGCCCGTCTGCATTAGCCCAGTTCGGAGGAGAACAGTAGGGCGTTAAAGACCATTTCAGTTCATGAGAGAGAGTTTAACGTCCACTCAGCACAAACTAGGTCATTTCGGGACTAACATATGGTTCAATTTTATTTCAATAATTCGCTTGCGCGTAGGGGTCTTTAACAGTGAGAGGAAATCGGAGTATCCTGAGAAAACCCACGAGGTTGGACAAGCGATCCTACTCCTTGCCACATACAACCGGGGAATGGAAACCACGCCAGTCGACTCAATGACAGACCTTATGATGCAACGCGCACGCTCTAACCATTCGGCCATACATAACCACAGTCCCCACCGCCTCGATAATTTATCAGAGCTGTACACGACAGCACATTATTATAATGTACACAACAATGCTGATATCCATGTTCCTTTTTATAAATCCACATTATATAAAAAAAAACATTGATCCCTTACATCGTAAAAGATTGGAATAACTTACACAAATCTATTCAATCAATTCCTGAAAACCCTCCTCAAATCTAAATTATACAGTACTAATAATGGCAGTGTAGAGCCCAGTTATTTTCAAAACGGAAACAGAAAAGAAGATACCATGCATACTAGAATACGTCACCGCTGTGGTTCGCTAAACCCAGATAATTGCCCCAAGTGTAATGTACGTTCATGTATAAAAGCAACTAAAAGTTCACTTTCAACCAGTTTCAAAATTGTTTGGTTGTTTATTTATCTGCCTACCTAACCTCGTCGGCTTTCTCTGGGCACTCCAACAACTAAATACCCCTACGCACAAGCGAAGTACAGAAATAAAAACTGAGCCATAAGTTAGACTCGAGATAATCTAGTTTCTGTTGAGTGCACGTTAAGCTCCATTTCTACTTCATGAATTCAGTTCAATATGGTGGCTGATTGGTATCATGTCGCGATGTCGTCATTCATAAGGCGACAAGCCGACAGCCTGATATTTTAACCAGATAATACATTTTCACCCGACAATATGACATTTTCACCCAACACCACGACATTAAAAATGTCCTAATGTCGCGTAATAATGTCGCATTGTCGAGCTTAAAGGTCGTGATGTCGGATTTGTCGGGTTTTTGGTCATATTCCTCTCAATACTATGATTATGTACACTGATCCTGGTGTTGGTCATGAACGTTCCCGGGATTTTGCAGCGTGGTTTCTTCCTGTCGGAAGAGCAGGACAAAGGGACTGACGAAGAACAAAAAAAAACAAGATCCTGTGTACACATTGGCGTGCACATAAAAGAATCTTTCACAATTGAATTTCGATGAACAGAACAAATGCCACGACCCATTGAAAATTTCCTTCATAGCACTTTGCATAGTGTATGCATATCTTCAATAGCCCGATTGGCGAAGACAAGTTGGCAAATTGAATGAAAATTTTAATGAATATGGGTTTAACGTCTTACTGATTGTCATAATCTTGTTTGATAATGAAACATAAAAGTGTTATTTTATACTTTTAATATGATGGAACAATTATACTACATATTCTTAAACAGGAAATTCTAAAAAGCACGTTTTTTTTAATCAGTCTACTGGGGCTTTTAGACCAGAGGTTTTAGATCAGTCAACTATGTCAGTAATAATATTGTGGCAGGGGTGACAGATTATAACTACCTGTAGCTGGAACTATGACACTGTTCTACTCTGACTACAATTTTACTATAAATGTTAATTTTTATACCTGTATTAAATGTTGTTACTCAATTTGAAGGAAATATTATCCCATTGAATATTGCTACTGGTCACCCACTTGATTTACATATTCACAACCAGGAAGTGATGTGGATTACATATATAGACATTAAATTCTCGTACCCAAAGCCCGGATGCTACTTCTATGTTTATCTATAATTAAAGAATATCTAAAGAAGATGTAAAATGATCTCTTTGATAAGTGTGAGTAATAATATACCTACCTTTTACATCTACAGTAATCATTTCTACAGCTGGATTTTCACATTTCCATTGTCCATCATCCCTGTCTTTAGATACATTAGCTATATTAATAGTTACACTGTTACTAGTTTGACTTACAGTATAGTATCTCCTGTAGTTGTATTTTACAGTAGATGAATTCGAGTCACCAGATATATTACATTGTTTAGGTAATATGCAAGAAGTTACAGGTACAGAATCTTTAGTAATTATAACTATCGACGTATTAGTTGTACATGTTAAAGATGCCGAATCACCTTGTATCCACTGAGGTGGGTTTAATGTAATACTTGTCCCACCTGTAATATACAACATACTAATTAGTATTACTACAGGTGATGTGTTAACTATTGCCTTAGATGATATGAGTATAAATCATTCAAGTGAAATATATCTTTCCATAATTAGATATACGAATATAACTAGTTATACAGCATCATAATTAGCCGTTTTTAGCTGGTGTCTGATCATTAGGTAAAGCGATCAGAACAGTATTAGTGGATTCGGGAACTCAAGCAATTATTTTTAGTAAATGTGGACTTCAGTTACACAAGTTAAAAGGAAAACTTGTAAAATATAAATAGACTTGTTAACAGTCACCATAAGCGGATTATTCATGGTTACAGTATGGTAGCCATCAAGTCATTCAAAACGCTGGCCATGCCTGCTTTCCGTTATATTTGACCCTAGCCCCTGAACACAGATCCTCGGTATCCCCAGTGGTTTCATTCCGTTCTACTCCACTAACCCCTGGGTTAATCTATGGGGGAGACACGTTTTCAAATTATTCGCCCTTGATGATTGTGCTATTTTTATCGACCAATCCCATACATCGTTAATTGAAAAGGAAGTCGGCAAAGGGAAGTAACTCTCATCGGACAAGTTTAGGGGTTAGCCTAAATGAGAGAAGTTCAAATTATTCTAAATGCGTACTTACTAACAACAAATTATATAATATTAAATTAAGGAAGACCAGACCAAATTGCCAAGTATACATTAATAGTAAACATAACAATGCAACATTTCAAATAAAGAACGAATAGTAATAATAATAACAAAAGTCAAACATATAGATGTTATACATATTTGAAATCAGCGAAACATACTACATATTTGATAATACAATTAATTATAAATGAATTAGAAATATATACATTATTTACATAAATCATTCAGTAAATGGACATGAATTTGGTTAATTACCCATATAAAATCGAAGGCGAAACGACTGGTTTGTAAACTGTTTCTTGATTGGTTCGTAGACCTTATCTTCAATCAAGGCCAGGGCAGATAATTTGAAATCGTGGAAACCCTATGGATTAACCCAGGGTATAGTGGAGTAGAACGGAATGAAAACACTGGGGATACCGAGGATGCTGAACACATGATACAAATGATTTGGCCACATCAGCCGTGCCACCGAGAATCACTCAAGCCAAAGAATTGAATCCTGGCAACTATGTGTGATATGGTCAAATTGCAATGAAATGGAAATCGCATTGGTACAAATCTTTATGTGAACTATTTATCTCGATATTAAATCACATTTCTTAGACTTTAAAACTTGTTTCCACATTCCCATGATGTTAATTTTTATAACCACAAGGATCCCAACATGTCACACTCATATAGTAAAGGGGGTTGACCGTCTTGATTTTATACACGCCAGGTAAAAGGAATCTATATGCCTTGACATCATTTCCGATGGAGATTTCCTGCGGGTCGGTGACATTATTCCTTATGTAGCGCAACCCCCCCCCCCCACCCGCGGCCCGCTGTTTAGTATTTACCACATCAAGCCCAATGATCTAATACAGATTGGTTCCTGCAATACCGAGATCAGCTATCTTGGGGGTAATATTTGTATTACACACTTTTAAACTATTTGCGAATGTGGGATGGCCATTTTGTCGGCACGGTTCGGTACAATTTTCACGAAAACCGTCGTTATGGTGTACCGGTGATATATTTGAACGGTTTGTAAAATCGGATAAATATTGAGACCTATAGAGGGCTTACAAGCTAAAAACTCGATTTTTCGTACAATCAGGGGCCATAATCGAGGAAGTTACGATCTGATATGTGCGAATATCGAAAGGGATTTTACATTTCATGAAAATCGAATAAAACAATAGTGAACAAACACACCGTCAGACAATGGCACGACACAATACGTCCACATGAAAATCTTGGCGAATAATTATAAAATCAATGACTAGAAAACAATTAAAACTGTATTTTACCAATAAAATTATATCTTACAATATACCGCATGATCTGAGCCCATATTGGAAGGTCATCGTTAAAGTTCAGTATAAACACTTAGCTTAGGATGTTACATTAAATAGGTATTTAAAGCGAACAAGTTAAAGAAAATGTGGTATTATAAAAATTTACCTTCGTCGCTAACCCACGACCACTTTCAGTAGATATCAGAACATATGCCTACTTTCACGTTTATTGGCGGGTTTATAGGAAAATCACATTATTATATGATGACTGGCGGTATCACAAACTGCTTTCAGATTCGACTGAACGGTCACGAGAGCTTTAAAAGGGGCGCGTTAAAAATAGCATATTTTTCGTTTTAGAGGTCGCAACGTTTACTGGGGCAATTTCGAAAATCAAATGGGGTCAGCATTCAAAATATTTAGCATATTCATGAAGCTCGATAAACCCCTTTCTAGGTCTAATGTTACAAATTAATTAAACGTTTCGGCTTCATAACGCGTCAAGTCGATGGATATTTCGCATGACTTGTGCCATTACAAAAATTCGGCAGATTAAATATGGAAATGGATGTCAGCTGTGATGAAATGGGTGCTTGATACATGTCACCTTGAGCATATTGTCATTTCAGAAATGGATGCATACTCAAAACATACTCCAAAAGATACTGTAACTTTCCTTAAAGCTGGTCCCCTTTTGTTTGTAAGAGCTCGGTAGTGTTGGATTCTGGGGAGAACTTATTGTTCATTTAACTATTATATAATTTTGTATGGGTTTTCCTGGCCTAGCCAGCCACATATCCCACGTTTCACCTGTGTTCGCACCGTGCAAAATTATTCCAGGTCTACCCTGCTAAGTTCTGTGGATGCGTCAATTAGTTGTATTAAGTACAATATGAGGCTGTAAATATTAGGCAAAATGTTAAGGTTTTGGAGTTTGAGCAGTATAGATGGCATGATGAACTGTATTATGATTTCACTGTACAACGGGAATACTTTACAAAAGTATGTCTATCTGTATAAGATATTTTGGAATTGTAATTCTGTAGTACCCATTACAGTCTATCTTACAAGGTAAGTAATTTCAAAGCTAGACTTCCCTGTACGATAAATATTTCTTAGTCTAATGAAAGTGAAAAGAAGAAGAGTAACCCCAAGTTTGGGCGTCATTTTCGGTGAATGTGCTTGTGGCGTCCATGGGCTCTACGGTAGGCATATCTCTCTCTTAACTTGTGCCTTGACATAAAACAGAAACTTACCGGATTCATAGGTGCTATATTTATTTACTGACTGATAATTGATATTGTCAATTTAATAGGACGGCCTCCCAGTCTGTCAGAGCGGTATTTCAACCGGGCAAAGTGTGCAGCTGGATTGGTAATTCTACAATGTTCACTTTCAGCCCCCCCCCCCCCGTCTTGCTCCCGAAAGAACAATAGACGTGTGAAAAAAAACCTTTTCGACCGATGCAATGAGTTCTGTTGGCTGATGTATGTATTCTGACGCAATAGGAGGAAAAACAAAAATTACGCAAAAATACCTTTGGTGGTCATGCACTTTTGAGTTTACTAAAGCGTTACAAACCAGTTTTTAGATGTTCAGACCGTCCTTTAAAATTATTACGAAGATAGTGTACTTAAAAGAAGTAGACAAAACGTCCAGACTGGTATTATCATGCATATATTTTTCAAGTTCAGCATCGCAGGAAACCACCATCGAGTGTGTTTGGGTAAGAGATTTAGAAAAGAAATAAAATTTCTCTTCATTGTTGAGTAATTTCATTAGCCAGAAAGTGTCTCTGACCCTCGGCTAAAGTCCTGGGGTGATAGCCCCCAAGTCCAGAATTGCTTCCAACGGCCCTGTTAATGTATGTAAAATCAAAAGAACTTACAAATGATTTGTATTAGACATATCCATGTTAAACACCGCATCGCCCCCATCATGTTGTTTTATATTTTAACATTTACCACAGCCCACCTACTCCGAGTCTATTGTGTACGATGTAAAACCGCTATAACTTGTTGCCTTACGAAAGACCTACAAAATACTATTTATAATATGCTGTGTATTTATAATATGCTGTGTCGACAAGCTGTATGTTCATATGGCGATTTCGCGTCGGTAATTGATAGTTTTTCAGCTTCACTATTTCTGGATTGTCTTTTTCGTGACATCATTTGGTACATTGTTATAACATATTTATACAAACATATTTATAAAAAAAAACAAAGCAGAGATTTATTTTTTCGGTTAATTTGTTGTTGTCGGAAGAGTTACAAAATACACCTTGGGACTGTATCACGTTACCACTGCATAGCTGTTCAATCCCAGTTTTCGCCTGTCTGTAACTGACAGTGTACTTCAGCTTTACAATACCAGTAATATGAATGTTATATAACTGATTATGGAAGGCGTTTGGGTTGCTTTTTTTGTAATATCCTATGGTAATGTACTATAGATTTTTTTTATTTTGCACTTTACCTGTTATATTTCATGTTTGATATATATTTAAATATACAGTTCCACGATAGTATTTATAGAGTACTAGTGGTCAATAAGCAATAGCATGTTTGGTATATATGGTAAGTAGGGACACCACTTACTATACTAGAAAAATACAGTAGGGTGATACATACTACAAATATTTAACTGTCGTATGGGGAAATGCTACAGATTTGTCAATACAATAGGAATTTCGATAAAGTGGAGTATTATGTAATAGTTTTGAATATGATAGCTTTATGGGAGACCGAAAGTGGCGTCATCGACGAAAATAGAGATAATATATGAGACATCAAAGGAAACGTTTTTGTTCTTCAACCAATTTGAATATGGTTTTCACCCATTTGTAGCTGTTTGTATTTCTCAACTATTATGTTCGGACATTGTGGCCTCTACGAAGAGTAACTTCTTTTTATTTTTGAAGAATTCGAATTGAAACATTCAGAATACATTACAATTGTTTGAATTAAGCCCAAAATCTCAATCAACATTTGAAGATGAAGTCACATTAATAACTTTTTTAATTTTGTCTTTTTTAAAAATATTTGTTAATACGAGTGGTCTATTAACATTTTATAGTAATCTTATAATGTTAAAATTCACCAGAAGTGCCACCATTTTGAATGGTAATACAATCTTCAAAGTCTATCTCGTCCTATTGTTCCTATCCAATTTTCAATTTCGTCATATTTTTGGAAACCATTCATAATTCGCAATCGACGGGTAGGATTAGAATTTTGATATTTGACCTAGAACTTTTGAAATGACTTCATAAAATTGAAGACTTTGAAATAAGGTAAATTGTAAATGACTAACAGTAAATTGAGTCATTCTGTGCATATTCTGAAAGATTTATCAAAATCAGTTTATAAACATAGGTTATGTGCAACACCACCTCTAATATTGGTTATGTTTAATTTAAATGTTAATCAAAATATGTGCTTTGGGCTTCTACAGTATAAATAAGTCATTTGGGTATATAAGTGTTTGTAAATGAATTTTTATAACACGTCTTTTGTTTACATAGTGTCTTCATTGGATACCATTGAAACTATAGCTCTCCTGTAGTGCTGTTTTAAAGGAATACGATTGTCTCATTAATTGGAGATATACAGGTGTCGTTAAGAAAGTGTGAGATTTTTTAAAAATCTAATCTCACTTTTATTTTTCTAAAGAGCCGCGGTGGCTCAGAGAGTAAGGCGCTGACTCCTTAACCAGGGGGTTCCCTACCGGTGTTGACCGAGACACTACCTCGTGGTTTCGTCTTGTCGCCGGTGCATGATGGAGAGCCTGGCAATGAACAATGTTCCGTCGTTCAGATGGAACAAAAATTGCGGTCCCGTGTACACATTGCCGCGCAACAAAAGGAACCCCTGGCTGTTCGAATTCGAAATATGAATTTGCTGAAAATTGCAGTCAAACTGATCCACTCTGAACCGAGAATATAGCGATTGAATATTCGGCATGGTCTTGATCATCATTAATAAACTCGGTATGTTTTTCAAAAACATAGTCTCAATTATCAATTTCATGATTAAATCATGAATGAATGTTGAACAGCAAATCGGATCCTAATCCAGTAAATATCACAGGCTAGCGATGACATCTAGAGTTGATTATGGTCAACTAACCTGACAATCGTCACCTTCATTTTGTCGGGTCAAATTTGTGGACTTGTCCACTTTTCGCCTTCAACTTATTCACAACCCGGCAAGTCGACAAATCGACAAAGTACAATTATTTCGCTTTGTCGTCACCTTCATTTTGTCGGGTCAAATTTGTGGACTTGTCCACTTTTCGCCTTCAACTTATTCACAACCCGGCAAGTCGACAAATCGACAAAGTACAATTATTTCGCTTTGTCGTGTCGTGTCGGAAGGCAAACATTCTTGGGTTAAGCGCGGAAGCCTGTTTCGGCCGTGTCATAACCTGAACGAGTATGGAAGCGTATTTGGGTCACTACTTATTGAGATAATATCGCAACACATCGAACTAAAATATGTCAACTTCATGAGTTATATTACAAAAAATCGACTTAATAAGTCGACTCGGCGCTATAATTCACCTCTAAACGACAAAAACTATGTCGATATGTTTACATCATGCCAATAGTCGATTTGACTCTAAATCAACAAGTCATATTTTAATGCAATATAAAGACTTAATAATGTAGCCGTTTTCAGTTATGTACCACGTGCTTAATTTCATTGCCCGAGATTGCTTATTCATGAAAGTGCAGCCAATGATGGGGTTTAACATCCACTCGACACAAACTAGGTCATTTCGGGACTAACATATGGTTTAATTTTAGGGGTCTTTAGCAGTGGGAGGAAACCGGAGGACCCGGAGAAAACCCACTAGGTTGGACAGGCAACCCTACTCCTTGTCACGTACAACCGGGGATTCGAAACCACGCCAGTTGACTCAATGACAGGCCTTGTATTGCATTAAAATATAACATGTTGATTTAGAGTCAAATCGACTATTGGCATGATGTAAAGATATCAACATAGTTTTTGTCGTTTAGAGGTGAATTTAATGCGTCGAGTCGACTTATTAAGTCGATTTTTTGTAATATAACTCATGAAGTTGACATATTTTAGTTCGATGTGTTGCGATATTATCTCAATAAGTAGTGACCCAAATACGCTTCCATAGAACGAGACGTCAGGGCGAGGTAGCGAGAGTGCGAAAGCGCCAGGGAACAGGACAAGAATGTGAGCTTCCTAAGTTCAATTCCTACGCATGTTCGCTGATTACCAAAAACAACACAATTTGCCCAAACCCATACAAATCTGCAATAATTGACCCACTAATATTCCAGGTCCTTATTTGAACCTTTCTCGTGATAAAACGTTATTTTGTTAATTAGAAACTATATTGTTTTTCTTAGAAATTATATACTTTTTATAAACAAAAACAAACATTTTGGGGACAGACCACGTTTATTTAAACTTCGGCTTAGTTTATCAAGCAAGGTACTTTTCTGCATCAATGAAGACGGGCATACGCTATGCAGCGCAGACTATGAAGTAAATTTTGCCCAGACAGCGGCGATACGGCCTGCTCTTATTTCAAACTCCGTCTAGCGTTCCATTACGTGTACGCGTACACGGGACTATGTACCATCAAAAAGACTAGACAATGTTCCCTTCCATCGCTACACCACTGACAAGGTGATACCAGACCACGGTTATTGTAAACTCCGGCATAGTTTATCAACCATGCTACGTTTCTGCACCAATGCACTGTGCTATGAGGGACATTTTGTACAGACAGCGGCTCCACGGCCTACTCTTATTTAAAATTCCAACTGACAAAGGTTCCATTACGTGCACGCCACCATACACTGGACATTGGTGAAGCCATGCTGGACGCAGAACTTCTGGTTAGAGACCCAGTGATTGCGTGACTCCTAGGTTTTGGCAAAAGTCAAGGAGATTTGAAATTGGGATGTTGCCAAGAAAAGCTTTAGCGTATTCCGTACAAGAAACTTGCCCTTACAGCATCGCAGTCTGATGCGGGATACGAAGATTAAAAAGAATAACATTAAACGATTTTTAAAGAAATCTAGAAACTTCCTAAGAAAAGGGGATTTAAATTTGAAATATTTTGTATAATAGCATAGTGTATTCTCAGTTATGATGGATATCTTGAAAGCATACATTAGAATACATATCAACATTTAAAACTGAATCTCTTCTGAAATATAGACTCCTAATTTTAAAACAAGTATGATATGGGTTGTGAGTTGCAAATGTAACCAAACGATCTTTTCAATCCTTTTGTGTAATATTCGGGTGTGGCAAGCAAAAACAAATGCTGAATAATTACTCCCTCGCCTGGTCGAGATTAAGATTCCATACTAAGGACTTAACCGAAGAATACTCCCTCGCCTCGTCGAGGTTAGGCTTTCATACTAAGGACGTAACCGCGCTGATAAACTTCCGTGGCGACATGTCGCGGCACGACAAAGCGAAACAATTATATGTTGTCGATTTGTGAAGGCGACAAGTCGCGGCACGACAAAGCGAAATAATTGTACTTTATCGGGTTGTCGAAGGCGACAAGTTGACAGAATTGACCCGACAAGTCGACAAACTGAAGGCGACGATCGTCGGGTTAGATTGTCGCATTGTCGGGTTGATTGTGTCGACCTGTCATCTTCACAACCCGAAAAATCGACAAGACGACAAAATACAATTATTTCGACGTGTCGTGTCGCGACTTGTTGCCTTCACAACCCGACAATTCGAGAATGTAGAATGGCCGCTAATTTAGGAAATACACTTGTATTACAGAATAACAAATTTATATTAGTGTTTATAATGAACACTATTCAAACACTGCATCTTAACATGACGGTTATATCATGTATTTACTGTGGCTTATTTTGCTGCAGAAAGCTGGAGAATATTGGGATGTTATAATCAACATATTAAACGATGTATATTTTGATCATTGTTCATTGTCCCACTTGTATGGCAACCGCTTGTTGACATTTCAAAGAAACATATATTTAATAAAAAAAAATGTGATCCTTTGTAAGCTAACTTCTATGGCAGATGATTTTAACGATATAGGAAAGCAAGATAACTTTTGGGAAAATAAAAGAAACCTATAAATAAACTATGAACAAAGCAAACACATAAATACTATTCTAACATGAAAATTCCAGATGTCAACAAAATTAATGATTTCTGATTACTTTATTGCAGTGGTTGTTAATCATGTAGGAAGATCTTTAAATGTTTGCGGACCAAAGAATTCGACGATATCGATGTTCTATGAATATCCAAATCAAGAAGCCGCAGTAACATGGAGGAGAGAAGACGGAAGTGCCCTTTCCGTTGTATCTAGTTCTGGTTGCACTGCATCTTTAAATGATCCTAAATACAATTTTTCTTGTGAAAATGGTAATAGAAAATTTGGGCTACATGTTAACAACCCAGTTGATGGAGAATTGTACTACATTGGAACAATAGACGATAATAGGACTTTTGTAATTCAAGGTAATTCGGTTTTTTAAAGCTCGATCTATGGGATTAAAGCAACACCACATATTAAATGAAGGGACCATGGTAGTTGAGTAAGGCGATATTTAACTGACCAGGCGGTGCTGCTGTTGGTCGAGAAATTTTCGCATGAATGCTCAGCGTGGTTTTCCCCATGTTAGTGGTGCAGATTGGAAGGAATGGCAGTGGATATTAGATAAAACCCCGAGAACCAATGTACACGCTGGCATGAGTCTACAAGAACCATTGCCAGTTGCAAATGACACTGCCTATACACAATATCGCTAACAACATACTGCATGGCGTATACTCAGTCATCATTATCCCGGTCGGTGCAGTTAAGTAGGATGTTATAACCTCATTTCATATTGTATAGCTTCTTGGCATTTGTCATTGATATAACACTCCTGAAAGTACGGGACGTTAAACCCCATTGCATTGCATTTCAGAAGTCCTTTTCTACTTATACTACTGGCGGATACTAGGCATCCATCATTCTAGTAATGGCTAGCTTCATATTTTTATCCCAAAAAACAAGTTGGATTAAAAATAACGAGGCAGTGTCTCCCTAGTTATTCGCCAATAACGTGGCGAGTCATCTCGTTATTCATCGCTTGATCAACAGTCTGGTTTATTTATGGAATTTATACTGCTAGGGAATACTTTGCAATCAATCATTTTGTTGTTGCCTAGTTATCGTTTATAATCAAATCCCGAGAGATACCTGGACACCTTTATATGTGAATCCCAAATAACGAATAGCAACCGGCTCGTTATTCGATGCTTGGGGAGTGAGAGAGAGGAGAGAGAGATAGATAGAGAGAGAGATGGGTTTCACGTCCACTCGACACAAACTATGTCATTTCAGGACTAACACGTGGTTCAATTTTATTTCAATAATTGGCTTGCGCGTAGGGGTCTTTAGCAGTGGGAGGAAAGCGGAGGACCCGGAGAAAACCGACGAGGCTGGACAGGCGACCCTAGCTACTCCTTGTCACGTACAACCGGGGAATCGAAACCACGCAAGTTGACTCAATGGCAGACCTTATGATACAGTGTGCATGTGCTAATCATTCGGACACCCCAACCCCCAGTTGATTCAATGAGACCTTATGATACAACGCGCACCCCTCGTTGCTAGAATACCACTTTGTTTTGTTATTTGGCTAGAAGCCGATTTTCTGTGTTTTATGCTACTGGGGATTACTTGCCATCCATCATTTTAGTGATGACTGGCTTCATATTTCAGCCATCTCATTATTCGTTATTGGTGAACAACGAATAACGAAAAACTATTCAACTTCACACTGCCTGGGTTCAAACCGCGGGAACCCGATAGAGGCTATAGACTTTAACAGATTTTTTTTAATTTCCTAGACCCTTTTCAAATTTGCTCAACATCCAAGTTTTCATTCTGTATAAGCTGCAGTAGAAGCATAGCAACTACGTTGGTTCCTTTCGAAACGGTAGCTGATCGGATCGGACGCTGTCCTCGGATCGTTCCTTTTAAGCTGCAATATGAAAATACCACTCTAGCCCCACCTCTAGAACTCTTACCTTCTATTTTTCACCGTGATTCTTCCTTTTTCACCAAAAGGAATCATTTCTCGCCTTATAGAAATATTCAGCACTATTTTCAAGTAGAAATTTGCGATTAAAGAAACTTGCGGTTTCCGCACTCGTTCAATTGGAGGATTAGTTCAAATGTATTTTGGTTATGTTTTTATAATCTCAACATTCTACTTGAAAATGGTGTTGTATTATTATAAACTCCTAAAGTAACTCGTACTGCGTGGGCGTAGTCCACGCTTCGTGTGGCTATTTTTTTATTCGCTGGCCAACTGTAAATCGCTGAAACGTTTGGGGAATTGTATGAAAATGACCACATAATTGAAAATTTCGGTCAACAATCGTCGCCTTTTTAAAATAATAGGCGGGTCAAACGACGGCTAAATGGTGTCGTACGTAGAACAAATTGCAACAAAAGGTTTTTTGTTTTCTATTGATTCATTATGATGTCCTAAGTAAGGAAAATAAAGTTTACCAAAATCGGAGTCCAAATAAGGACAGGGGGCGTGGTCAAATCCAAGATGGCGGTTGTCGATGAAAAATTGCAAATATCTCTAAAACTATTGAAATTAAGCACCATAAATGTATTGCGGACAGATAGGAAGTCGGTACCAGCGAGTCCAAAAATGGCGACGTTATGTCTCTACGACGTCATGACGTTACTGTGACGTCACAACGGCACATCAAACGTCGCATTTCTTCCAAAATTAGTCCATTTATGCATGTTAACAGTAAAAACGAATGCTGATTCAGAGAAGAGGGTATGCCCATTATGGGTTGATAAACAATAACGTAGAAGGAAGCTAAAAGTATATGAATATTGCTCCATTGCCGAAAGGTGATACTATTACAGTAGCCGTAGGAACACGATTCATTTCAATTGTCGACAAAAATAGCCTACATCAATAAAAAGAAATGAAATGAAATGGGGTGATACATATACGTCCTACTGTTCTGCTCCAATTGGGGAGTTTTGCCGTGCAGTGGCGCAAAGGCACTCTTATATCGAATTCCAACTGCAAAGGGTTCTTTTACTGGAGAAGTGCATTAAAGGTTGAATGGGCGGGGCTGACCAGTTTTGACATTTGGGCCACTCAGAAGTAGGTTAATCCCCAAAATCATCATAAGGATTTATATTTTGACACAGGCGTATTCCAGATGTGTTACAAAAAAAAATTTGTAATGCGACCAGCGCCCCCTGGCAGTGTTCCTAAAAGCATCACTTAAAGAATTACGTTTTGGGGGCCCCGTATATGTGGACAGGCAGGAAGTCAATACCACAGAGTTCAAAAAGATGAAAACTGGTCTACCCGACATTTTACGTTTTGCCACGGGCTCTAGCTGAAAGTCTGTTGGGATGTATTTGTCCTGATGAGCCAGGCTAAGGGTACTAGTCCGGTAGTCAAACACCAGGTTAAGCCTTGCAATGGAAATAAAGCAGGGCCCGTAAGAGAGAGAGGGTGGGGGCAACTGCGACATTTGTCCAGGGTCCCGGAGGTATGCCGCGTAATGATAATGTTTAAAAAAATACATTTGTTGGTATAAAGTAATAAAAAAAACACACTGTTACTTGATCGTAAAGCAGAAGAAAACCGGTAACTTTTCTGAATGTAGGTATCTAGTTCCATGGGGAAGATTAGAATCGGATTCTGTCAGTTCTACTTTTTTGGAAAAATTGGTAAATTTAAAACTATAAATCACCTGCGCCAGCCTTAGTGCCCTGGAGCCGGGCCCGTTCTCGTTCCGTTTGATGACATCGTCATCGTCAGGGTATCCGGGCCAAGTCCGGGTCTGTAGAACGCTACAATGAATGAATGATCGCTCTAGGTCGGCTGACTGGTATTTGATCATTAAGAACGAACCTGAAAGCGAAACTTTTATTTCGTCTTCGTTTCATTAGGTGCTAAAAATCTCGAGGTTTTTCGACATTTTTGCAAATTGGGGACCCTTTTCCCACCAATGTGCTTTAGCAAAGTGACCCCCAGTTACCCCAGATATACGTCAAGTGACGCTGCCTATGTGTCTTTCAAAGCGATTTTCACCTTTTTGGACTCTCTGGTATCGAGTTCCTATCTGTCCACATATAAAGTAATGCTATGGGGACATCGCCAGGGGGTGCTGTTCACATTACCCCGAAAGTTGGTTTTGTAACATATCTCGGGTACATCTACGAAACCGGTGTCAAAATATAAATCTTTCTGATGATTTTTGGGCCAAATGTCAAAATTGATCAGCCCCACCCATTCACCTTTTGATGCAGTACTTCTCCAGTAAAAGACCTCTTGGCGGATGCAATTCGATATACGAGAAGGCTGTTGCGCCATTGCAGGGCAAAATTTCCCTCATAGTACACTAAGGAAGCCAAATCGGAGCAGAACAATAGGATGTATAACCTCATTTCATTTCATTACTTCAACAATTGAAATGAATCCGTGTTCCTGCAGCTACTCTAATAGTATCGCATATCGGTAATCCAGCAGTAGTTCTTTTAGCCCCCTTCTCCGTACTTGTAACATATTGTTCTTCTTTATCAACCCAACATAATGGGGACACACTCTTCTCTGCATCAGCATTCGTTTCTGCTGTTAAGATGCGTAAATGAACTAATTTTGGAAGAAATGCGACGTCTGGTATGCCATTGTGACGTCACAGAAACGTCATGACGTCATAGAGACATAACGTCACAATTTTTGGACTCGCTGATACCGACTTCCTATCTGTCCGCAATACATTTATGGTGTCTAAATCCAATAGCTTTAGAGATATTTGCAATTTTTGATCGACAACCGCCATCTTGGATTTGGCCACGCCCCCTGGCCTTATTTGGAATCCGATTTTGGTCAACTTTCTTTTCCTTACTTAGGACATCATAATGAGTCAATAGAAATCAAAAAACCGTTTGTTGCAATTTGTTCTACGTCAAATGTTAGTTTGACCAGCCTATAAGGTAAAATTGTCACACTTGGTCTAGATAATTGTTGTATCTTCTGGTGGATTTAATAATGAAAATTTTTTGCTTAAGCTAAGTAGAGGATACGGAAGGTGATTGGCCCAAACTTTAGAACACAATCTATAGTAATATTTGTGACTGTCTGTCTGTCTGTTCAGGGTTGGTGGCTACACTAGGGCTGTCCCGATGATCGTATTAAATGGATAGGGGTAGCGCGAACACTGGAGTAACATACATAGGTCTGGTGGCGTTGGACTGCCACCTTTGAAGTTATACCACCTTTGGTTCCGGGCACAATCGTCCAGCGCCCGGTCATCCGCTAGTAAATCCATACTTTGTTCACCACACACAATAATTTGACGGCTAGATGCTTAATAAAAATTTGACTTGATTCGGGTGAACACTAGCCACACTTTAATAATTCTGCTGGATATCATCTTATTCGCAAGTGTACACGAAGCCAAATCTGAAGTCCTGGCCTTGCAGTAGATCATATTATCGGACTTAAGACAAACTAGGAAGCTTCATATATTCATACAATAGTCGAAATAACCCTAATTTCATGGATTATTAAGATGAACAAAGTCTTATCAGTAGCATTAGCTACAATATTGGGCTTTATCGTGTTAGCGTATCTTAGCTTTCTTTATTGAAATGTTAAAATCACATTTACGAATATCACACTATGCACTGGATGATCACCCCAAGGTTCCGGATTTGGGATACATTTATACTTTTCCCACCAACAAGTACGAGCACTGAATAAATCACCGACATAAGAACTGCAACTGTGGTGTTATTGTCGTCTTCATACCAGACAATTTTGCGAACCTACCCATCGAAATCTACTGAAAAAACTAACCCAAGATCTGATACATGCCGACACGGTCTCCACTTTTGGGGATTGTGCGCCTTCCTGTTCCACGGTAACGAAGTGGACCGTGGAATTTAAGCGTGGCAGAGAGAGCGTCGACGATGACCCGCGTGTGCATGTGCTAATCATTCGGACACCCCAACCCCAGTTGATTCAATGAGAGACCATCCACGAAAGCGTTACCCGGGTGCATGATATGGTGGTAGCTGATCGATGATTGATCTCTCGACATATTTCAGTGTTATGAGAGGGTTGAGCATATTATCGTCAACGAGTTAGGAGTGACAACAGTTTCTTCAAGATGGGCGCCAAAACTCTGCAGATCAGAGACGTTGTCAGATTCCCGACGCCCCTTGACAATCCTGATGATTTTGTGGGCCAGACTTGTAACCATGGATGGGAAATATTTCCAAAAATGAAAAAAAAAGGAATTAGCCGGTCGTCATTTTCCTAGTAATGATCACGTCATGTCAGCTGTGAATGTCATTTTCAGGGTAGCCGAAGAAAATTACTTCCTGATCGGCATACAGGTCTTGCAAAATCTTTGGCAAAAGTGTGTACACATCGAAGGGGATTAGGTAACAAAAATGGAAATCATCGACTTTGTACAAGTCTTTCAAGGATATAGGCTTAGAATGTTTCAACCAGCCCTCGTATATCTCGCTATGTAAAATACTTCTGAATGTCAAATATAATATTAGTAAAATTTTAATATTTATAGGCAGCCACCAAGAGTTAATTCGCGATTTTGTGGACACTATCACGGCTTGATCTGAGCTAAAATATACTCACATTGATTATTTAACATTTGAGCAAGAAAACAAACTCACGACAGCAACGGTAGATAATCTTCCAACTTGGATTCAATCTCATTAAAAGATTTCAACAAGAAATCAATGTTGCGTTGGCTTGTGTTGATAATATATCGTCCTCAGTTGGCGCCGAATGTTTCCAAATTACTATTCATATCTTTGAAAATTCGGAACGGAATTTTCGAATTTGCATTCCTGTTTCAAATAAACCATTTTATTGTAGTTTGCAATTATTTAAAACCACTCCTGACAATCGGGGTCCTTTATAATATTTGCCAACGTATTTAGATTAGTGTATGTGAATTCACATTTGTCCATTCTATATCAAAATAGCACACGGTTTTCAAGACGAACGTGAATGGGCAAATAAGCAGGAGCCATTTGACATTTTAGGTAGCCACTGGCATAAGTGAGATTTTTATCCATCGTTATTTTCTTTTTTTTTTAGATAAGGGATCGTTAAGCTTAAGTGCAGATTTGTTTGCATGTAAGTTAAACACTGAAGTACAACTGGTGTGTACGATAACTTGCAGTAAACCAGAACCACAACTTACTTGGAAATTACGTAATACGGTAAAATTCCTTTTTTTTGCCCAGATATCAGAATATGTTGACGATTGATTTGTTTAAGTTATTGTTCAAGGAACACACATGGGTTAGATATAACGAGGTTAGAACCGGGACATACCAACTGTGCGGGGAAATCTGGAATATCTGCACAACATACTACTTATCACGTAAAGTATCGCAATGTTAGTGACTAAATATCACAAGTATTATTCAATAAGATTGTTAGGTTGTAAGCTTGGCATCCTAATACATGTAAGCCCTCAAGGGGGTGGAACAAGGCTGACACCTCGAACTGGAATGCACCTGCAGGTTATATTTCACTTATTTTTACCCAAGAGTTAAACCTTTGAAACGAAAAATGAAGGATCCCGAACAGCACCATTGGAGACTTTAAAAAAAGAAAATGGGGGTGGTACAATTTCCTACGCGTTCTCCATTTTAACCCTAGCCTCTGATTCAAGACTGAATGTTCTTGCAAGTCTCCTTGGAGACACCTGTCAGAGGTATTGCCCTATGGGGATGCGGGAGTAACGCCACAGAAGCAGAATGAATTCATGGTGATTTCTGTATTTTATTTAGAAAAAAATCCAAAGCTGCCATTAATAGAGCGATTTTACTTATGAATTTCGACTTCAACATAATTATATGTTTACAGACTGGAGCGCTACAATATTTATCACGAGGCGAGGAATATGTTAATAATACAGGATGTTCAACTGGATACTTTTCTAAAAGTAGCACTATAACTATATCAAATACAACGGCTCTGGATGGACTAGACGGTTATACAATAAGATGCGAGGTTTCTTATCCTGACTGTGATATACCAACAACACCTGACCATGTTGATGGATCTTGTATGGGTATGGTTTGCAAATTCTTAATAAGCGCCCGCCCGTCGTTCTTATTTGTATCTCTGTAAAGAGTTTTATGTGGATATTATCTGACAATTAAAACTTATTGGGATTGTATAGTTTTATTAATGAGGCCACAAACAGTCACTTCTATTTTATAGCCCACGTCGCGTTTTTAGCTTGTGGTCCCTCTAGAGGTCACACTTATTCAAATATATCACCGTTACACCATAATGTACGTTGAGTTCGAATTTCGTGAAATTGACATAAGTATTTATAACCCGAAGATCTTGGTTCCTTTCTATATTCGCGCATATCGGATCGTAATTTCGTGCACATAAATTGTGTAAAAGTATCTAATACCAAAGCTTTTGATGAAACTTGCAATTTATGTTGGTTCCTTTCGATATGTGCGCATATCGGACCGTAACGTCCAGGATTATAGCCCCTGATTGTACGAAAAATCACGTTTTTAACTTATGGATCCTCTAGAGGTCACAATATTTATTCAGTTTTGAAAAACGTTTAAATGTATTACCGTTACACCCTAATGACGGTTGAGTTCTAATTTTGTGACAATCTGCTCAACAATACGAAGGTTGTGGACCCTCTAGAGGTCACAATTTTTGTCCGATTTTGATGAAACTTAATATATATCTTTTGTCCGATTTTGATGAAACTTAATATATATCATTATATCCCAAAAATCATAGTCCCTTTTGATATTCGCGCCATAACTTCTTGGATTATGGCCCCTGCTTGTTCGAAAAATCGCGTTTTTTTTAGCTTGTTCTCTATGCATCTCTTGCAACATGTGGGCTTATCTTGCCTGACAACTGCTGGTTTCACCTTCACAAAATGCCGCCGCTACTTATGCCACACATCCTGCCCATTATCCCTCCCTGAATGTTTTACCTTTACCGTCTTCTTCGGCACCGTTTGTCAAATATAAACATATTCAGTAGATGTATTCATCTGGTTGCGTTTACTCCGTTATGCTCAAATGAAGTTGATCGGCTCCATAAGGGAAGGACTTTGGCACGTTAAACCTGCAAATTTCAAACTCTGATCCTAAACTACTTGATGGCTTTGGTACATCCCAAACTTAGGCTGTCTATCTACAGCTAGCTCCGGCTGAGAATAGGCCCTAAGCTAATTAACCGACATTTTAATTCCTACATCGATGATTTTAGTCGAAAACACTGAGTATGCTTTTAGAAATTTTTAAAAGTATTTATTTCTCTTCTATTGTCATATTGAATGAAATTAAATATGTTTATTTAGCCGCGGTGTGTATGAAAGATGCAAACTAATCAAAGTCGAATAGTCCTCTAATTATTCAATATGGCGGCGCCAATGAAACATAATTTCACAGAGGCGGTTTTGTTTGCGAAAACAAATTTAGGAGTATCTAACCTTGTTTTGAAAGATAAACAGATTGAAACTCTAAAGACAGTTTACAATGGTAAAGAATTTATTGCAATATTACCCATAGCACATATTATATATCGCTTTTACGCGAGTGTCAGCGACATGGCGTGTTTACATAAAACACTCGTGCTTGGGTTATTTTTACTCTGTTGTCTAAACAAAACGGTGTCTAGTCGATAAGTCCCGCCCCAAAATGATCACGTGAGCGTTTTAAATGGCGGGTAATCAAGGCAGTGTCACATTCTGGGAAGTATGACGTAGATGGGTCGCTGCGTGCAGTATGGGCTTTGGTAGTGCTTATCATGTTTTGTTGTCCGTCGTCTGTTGAAAAAATCAATAAACCTGTGCTTCTAATAAAGGTATACTGTTCAAACTTGGTGTAGATTTCATTAGGTGAATGCCTTGACTGGATGCAATGATGAGTATTTACCGCATAGGCTAAGAGATAAACAATTTGGATCACGATATGTAATCTGTGTGGTTTCAAAACAGCAAGCCTTGACTAAGTACGATAATTAGCTTTTTTTCTGCTCAAGGTAAGCAAAGTGATAAACAATTTGGTAGACATGACAGATCCCTTAGGTGGTGAGTACTCAAATCCCAACAATAGATGGACAGGGGTTGCCTAAAAGGGACACAATTGTGATTTTATAGATTACTTCACCCAAACTACTTGATGTACAAAATTACAAATACTGCTTTGTCCAAATATAGTTGTTCGTCGCCATTGCGGATTTGAATTTCCTTGGACAAAATATCAGTGGTTTTGCAAGTATCTAGCTGCACAGGATCAAAGAATATTCATAGGCAGGCACTTATGCTTTAGTTGTATACAGTAGCGGATTAAAGTGGAGGCGCCGGAGGCGCTAGCCTCCGACCTGAAATAATCTCAAAAAATAAAACTGAAAGACAACACCGAATCCGTGGAGAAAATTTGATACGAACCCCTTGAGGCAGGGCCCAGTTATATTGAATAAGATACAGAAAGCATGTTAGTAAACCCACATGCGCCATAATCTCCGTCACAGAACAAAACTGCTGGTATTATGTCGAAAACTAAGACCAGTTACTGGTTGCCCGTTTAATTTGTATATTCCATAGCGTAACAATAACGTTACAGCCATAAACTTGCTTCGATCTCTGTTAATACTGAACCTAATTTAATCGCAAAATAAGCACGTGATTGATTTAAAATGTTTTATTCAGATAAGATTCATGTTAAATACGTACATTTGTTAAAAAAAATTAAGGATTCAAAAGGCCTATATATTAATTTGTCTCCATATTGATGATTTTAATACAATTACAATATGTACACTCCATATGGAAAATACTTTTAGCAGTATGGTAATAAGTAGCTATTAATCGTGCATGTTAGTAGATTTAATAGCGTTTGTCATTTTTAATGCATTGCCATGTCATACGCATAATTTTCTGAAGACGCACAGGCACCAATAAAGTATATTTGTGAGGGTCATCATAATTTTGTTAATACAATGCTGTTATATCTTGATTACTTGAAATCTACCGAAACTACAATAAATAAGATATAACTAGTATTTAACAATGGCTATTGGCGTATTTTAGATAAATGTATCAATTTGTGGACTGTATAGTTTAAAATCTAACATTGGCAAAACTTGAACAGTGTAACAAAGAGTGTTCCGTATCTTCTATATAGCGAAATGAAAAAGTTGGACTTCCCGTTAAGTGCATGGCTAATTTAAGGTAGTTTGCGTTGTTTTTATTGTGACGCAGTTTAGTATGGATTATTTGAGATTAAGGTTTTCCGGTGTACAAGTATTTAGGTAATGAAGTAGCATCATTAGTTAACTGTTCTTTAACTATTTGTATAAAAGGAGATGATTGTATAAATAAAATAAAACCAAGTACGAACAATCCAAACCATTAGACAAAATTCGAAGTCCTAAAAAAATGGTATAGGCAAAATGGTGTAATCAGCAAATGGACTGTTCACCGTGTACAAAATACACGACAAACAGTGGTAACAGGTGTCAGGAAGAGTAAGCTTACTTTGCCTGGCGCCACACCCGCCATAGCTGCATCCAAACCACAAGACGAAATCTCGGTAAAATAATATGTATAATATGTTCAGTTAAATTATTCAAGTCGTTATTGTAGTATACAGTTCAGAATTCGGCTTTTGGTAAGGGTTAATATCCGAGGATTTGGGAGGAACTAGTAAAGACAAATAACGTGGAGTCATTGTATCGACCATTTTATTGCATATTAAGTGAACCCAGATTTTTTATACGAAAGATTATGAGAGATAGGGCTTAAACGCTACTTTAAACTTAGAAACAAATCAATGGATTTATTTACTTTAAACTTCATACACATTACTACTTAAATAAACTCCTAGATGCCTGTGTTCTTTGTTATTAGTTAGTGCTGTTCCATCAAAGTAAAGATTAATAAGAGTAGGGTTTTGTTTTCTTGAGAAGGTGTAATCTTTGTTGTCCCGCCTCTTTCGAAGAAAGCAGGGGACTATTAAAATTGGTTCGTCTGTCTGTCTGTCCGTACGTCCGTCTGTCCAAAACAATAACTCTCCTTCTAATTGAGCTAGGATGTTCAAACTAATTGTAGGTGTTTATGAAGTCGGTGCCTTGATGGGGTTCGAATATGAGCATTTTCTGCTTAGGTTAAGCATAGATAAGCAATTTGATTGGTTGATGCTTTGGGACACAATAACTTTAGTTCTGAATAAGTGATAGTGATCAAACTTTGTGTATAGTTTCATTACATCAATACCTTGACTAAGTTCGATAATGAACATTTTCTGCTTAGGATAAGCAGAGCGATAAGCAATTAGATTGGAACAAAATAACTATCCTTCTAATTTAGCAACAATTTTTACACTTGGTGTAACTGTTTATTAGGTGAATGTCTTGATGGAGTTCGAAGATGAGTTTTCTGTTAAGGGTAAGCAGCGATAAGCAGTTTGATTAATTGATCCTTTGGACACGATAACTTTAGGTCTAATTAAGTGAGAGTGATGAAACTTGATGTATAGGTTCATCACATCAACAATACCTTGACTAAGTTCGATAATGAGCATTTTCTGCATGAGAGTAAGCAGAGCGATACGCAATTTGAAATACCAAATTTGCTATACTTGTATTGGAAATAACCACCCGATAAATACTTTCGGAACAATACATGTATATCTTTAAAGTTAAAATTCCAATTAATTTTTGACCAATTGCTAAGTTTGCTTTAGGTCTTCAATTAGAAGGAATCGGCGTCGAGTACCGTGTATAGGGACGATTGGGGTTTTAGGGTTATAAAGGGTGATTGATAATGTAATGTTTAAAGATCCTTTCGTCATAATAGTTCTGGTTTTGAGTAAGTTGAACGTTCAGTTGTCTGTATATTCGAAAATATTGCCTTACTTATTTTCATATTATTGTCTATGATATCATTTAGACATTATAACAACGGAAGCCACCACATCAACCAGAAATATACCAAATGGTACGTTTATATGCGTATATTTTTTTTATTTTATAACGAAACAAACTGTATTTATATTTTTAAATATAAACATGACAATTAAAGTAATTCAAACAAGACATTTTAATCCAATTCACAAATTAAAACAGCGTTACCTAAAATTTGGATTCTTTTAACAATTATAGCCGGTACTAACAACTCCATTACCACAACAGCACGACGTGGTAGGTTTTATCTTTCATCAAACCTTGCACTCCAGTTTCACAGCATCGTAATCCCATCCGTTCAGTGATAGTGTTGAAACCCTGTATGCAATTTATATAATATTATCTCATTTTAGCAATTCAATACGGAAGGGTATCGCTGCCAATATTAAATGCTCTGCTACAATGTATTTTCCATTGATTACGTGTAAAAAGTACAATGTACAAAGTATTAATACCGGTAATGATAAAGTCAAAATACCTCTAAGACAAGAGTAAATTTAAAACGTCAAATGATAAGTGTCAAATGACAAATGTTTTGTGGGAAAATACTTTTTTTGACGTGTCTACATTTTACATTTCTCTCATTACATTTTACATTTGCACTCTGCCACGTCCCATTTGTCCTTCACGCTTGGGTAGTTGGGTGACTGAATGGTTAGCACGTGCGTGCTGTAACATGAAGTCTGTCATTGAGTCAACTGGCGTGGTTTCGAATCCCCGGTTGTACGTGACAAGGAGTAGGGTCGCCGGTCCAACTTCGTGGGTTTTCTCCGGGTCCTCCGGTTTCCTCCCACTGCTAAAGACCCCTACGCGCAAACGAATTATGGAAATAAAATTGAACCATATGTTAGTCCCGAAATGACCTAGTTTATGTCGTGTGGACGTTAAACCCCATTTCTCTCTCTCTCTCCCTTCACGCTTTCTACATAGCATCTTTCGCACAGCATCAGCTTTCATATGCAAATGTAGGATATCACGTGACGTATTAAAATATTGGCAGCGATACCCACCATTATTCACATGGTTAACAAATGTTTTGGTATTGAAGTTGCTGATCGTCATTTGCATTATTTGGACAATATCTCCCTTTTCTTGTGCAGAGGATAACCCACGCTAAAATGTACTGAATTTGATTAATTAACACTTAAAATTGACTATTATCACTTATATTGACTATTGATTATTTAACACTTAAATTAAATTGACTATTCAACACTTAAATTGACTATTCGACACTTAAATCTCAAAATATGAGCAATAGTTTATCTCCCGGCGTGGATTGAATTGGATGTACCAGAGGCCCTCCAAAACATATCTGGCTATATATGATTTTTAACGTTAAAGCGGTGAATAATTTTAATATGTCAATCCACAGGTCCGGTTATGTGGTTGTACAACTTCGCTGTTCCACAAGCGGATTAGTTTTACTTTATTATGACGCAGGGGGAAGATAACCCACCTTCTTCTCACGTCAGCAAAGTATGACATCGTGACTATTTTTTTTCTTAGATATACGTGAGCTAAATTGTTTTGTTTTTTTTTATCTTTTTTATTACTCCTTCGTATGTAAATAATTTTTATTTAAATCAACCTGTTCATAATATGTAATAGGTATTGGGCGTTAAATTTGTAATAAACAACAAAAATGTTTGGCATGTATTCACTATAATAACGTTTGCATTGGATGTCGAGTGTTAACACATTTTGAAATCATCATATCTGTGTAAATGCTGAAACCCTTTAGAGATTCAAATTTCAATACATTGTAGTTTGCAAGACATTAACTAAAGATCAAATGACGATCAGAGACTGTAACATATATGTTCGGGTTACATACTTATAAACATGTCGTGAAATGTTTTTAAAATGTTCTTGATATTCTTTTAATGAAAATTTTAATTCGAGTATATGAGATGATTTATTATTAAAAAGTTCATAATATTCAATTGTGCTGTCAGCTAAATGTTTGATCTTCGTACAACTGTTGATAATACCTACATTTTATATATTTAGATGAATATGAGATAATATTGTATGTCTAACTATTCCTACTCCCAGCTTGTCTTGTTAAATGTATTTATTACGGTGTTTTACGTCATTAATGGAGATATCTCAGGTTTCCGAAAATAAATTGGTTTAACAATGCAAATTTAAATAAAATCTGTAATAAATAACCTTTGTGATCTGTTGGGAAATTTTAGCCCTAAATATATAAAGTCGTTTATACATGTGACGCATCTTTTATTTGGTGATAGGTAATTAATGCGTAACATCACACCTAGTCAATCTAACAACTAGGCTTTGATTTTAAAATAAAATTAAAATGTGTTTAGAGCTTCAAATAGTTGTTTAGGACCAGAATAAGCATTCTAAACAATATTAAACCATTCATATATCTCTGATTTCTCCTGGCCTGATATTGTGGTAGATATTGACCAATTTAAGTTGATTATATTATATATGGTTTATACTATTTTTCTTGTTAAAGAGATATAACTGACTCTACTCCAAACCCCAGAACACTACACAACCCACTGCCTTGTCTGCACAAGTATTACAAAATAATAATTATAACAAGCTAAAGCGGGATATTTGCATAATTCATTTATTTGCAGTTATCTACGTTTAAAATTTCATTATAAATTATACATAATTATTTTGTAATGCCCTATCAAGACTTATCAACATATATTCTATCTTTGGCTTTCCTTATCAGCTTCCTGTACGTGTTTTACTGTCAACTAAGTTATGTTGCATTGTGTTTAATTGACAAGCTTGTATTGTTGTATGTGTTGTGTTAAACCCTACTTATGTTCCAACTTACTTGTTTGTTGTTGGCTTTAATCTGTTATCAGTTCACATATTAAAGCATTTTTTATTATTCTTTATAATTAATCGTATTTTATAAACACGTCTGTGTCATTCAGGAACAGGGCAACGCGGATACCCGCTCCTGAAAGAGTAATATGTTATTTTATTTGTGCCCCGTTCACAGCTTCTTAAATATATTTTTTCTTTTGTCGGGAGTGGGGGGGGGGGGTCCTCTGAGCGAATTTCCTGAAAACCGTAGTACGATTGGTCTACTCCTCGGTACCAGTACGCCATCTCTGATATATTATTGAAGAGAAAAATTGAGCTGTATTAAGGAAGTATATCGGGAAGGGGGGGGGGGACTAACGTCCACTATAAATAATCAGGTCATTTCTGGACTAACATGGTACACTTGTATTTCAATTTGCTTGCAGGTATCGACCTTTAGTAGGAAATGAAATGAAATGAAATGGGGTTTAACGTCCCACTGTTCTGGTCCGACTGGGCTAATGGAGACGGGTATACGCCATGCAGTGTGCTGTGAATTGACTTTTGCCCGGATAGCGGGGTGATGGCCTACTCCTTTATCGAATTCCAACTGCCAAGGGATCTTTTACGTACAAGCCAATGTGTGCACGGGACCTCGTTGTTTCGTCCCATCCGAACGAGTAGACAGCTGTCCTGCGCCACTGACAAGGGGAATCACGTTGCCAAAATAATCCTTTTTATGATTGCTTTGTGGTCTTTAGTTTGAACTGAGAGAGAGAGATATAATGTTTTAACAGCTAATTTAAATAGCTTAAATTTTGGCATTTACAATTGATATTCAACTAACTACAACACAAATTATATCTTCTGTCAGGTCATAGAATTAAAGTTATCACTGTGCTTAGATATTTTATGTCTCCCTCCCTTGATAATGCACATCAAGTTATTATACTATAACTTGTCTTTCTGTATTTATATATTTTTATCAGGTTGTCCTATTGTATCAATGGTACAATATTTATTTAAAAATTATTTCAATTAATGGTACGGGCAACGTGCCAATCGCACAGTATTGAAATATTGGACTCGCGTGACGATTCAATTGAAATGCACGTGATGGATAGTGTCTCTATTTTAAGTTTTTTATCGGTTTCGTGCAAGACATTGCGTAATATATTAAAACAATACTCGGACTTACGCCCAAGTGCAGTGTCAATATATTACTAAATGTCTCACTCTCGACCATTAAACCAAGCTTACTCTGATGTCAACGAATTTCATACTAAGGGGGTATGTCGTCACTACTTTTCCGGCGTCCGTCCTTTCTCAGAAAGTTAGCAAAACAATCTTATCCGTATTTCATTTATACAGCAACAAATCAGGAATATTTGTAAGGTGGGCGTAAACTCACTTAATGTATTTTTTCTTTGTATAAAGCAGGGTTCGGATTAACCTGCCATGGGGCCCTTTTAGCAACAGGGAATATTCTGATCATTCAGCCAAACTCAAGCAAATGCAATTTGTATGTCAGTATGGTAGATAGTTAGATTTATTTGGCAAAAACCTATACATATACACCCCCATCCCTTTGTTAAACTCTGCAGTAACATATGACAGACTTATTATATTACAAAATCCTTTTTAGTATAATATTGTAGTGTAATCAGTCCCGGCCTCTTTATCTATGTATAAAACATAACCGTCAGCTAAGCTTAAATTTGGATTGAATTTTAATTTCATCCTTTGACTGCCATTGTGGAATTTTTGAAAACACTGGAGAAACTTTCCATCCAATTGCCGTCGCTCAAGCAGTGATATTTGTAATCTACGGATATTCGACACCTTCTCACACCTGACACACATTAAAATACAGATGTGACCTAACCCTTTTGTGTTGGCGTACCATTATGGTATGGGCAACCTGCCAATCGTACATTATTGTATGCTAAATGAAATATTAGATTCGCGTGACGATTTAGTTGACATGCACATGAAGGGTGTTCTCTGAATTTTAAGTTGTTTAATGGTCTAGAGGAAGACATTACGTAATATATTGAAACAACACCCGGACTAACGTCCTCGTGTAGTATCAATATGTCTCGATATCGACCATTTCAACACATGGCACATAAGGCTGCAAACGAGGTACATGGCATATTCTCCGTCACCTTTAACTCGCAGTAATACAGTAAAATAAAACTGCACGGTGGAGGCACATAAAACTGTAAATTAGACACATGACCTACTCTTCGTCATTGTTTAACAAACTATTAAGAACAACCGTTTAAAGATTGTGTACATAGTAGTTATTGATCATTATCTCTTATTATTACAGACAATGGTGCTGTATGTAGCTACAATTATCTTATTCTCACCACAGTAGCCCTGGTTCTTACAGTCTATAACATGGTTGGTGTTTTAAGTTATTCAGTATGGCATGTCCAATCTGGTTCATTTGTCAAACAGTATGTTTACAAATTAGTTTTGGCGATTTTCCCTTTTCCATGAAAATGATTTGTAAGATTTATTTGGCGACACTTTCCCTATTCTGCGAGGGATATGTGTCGCTCCTTACTCGGGTTCCGTTGTTTAAAGGACAATGTTGGTGTCATTCAATATTTCCTATGTGATAGAACATTCCAAATATTGTTTTAACATAGAAATCTTTGCTACGGTAGATGCGTAACGATGTTGCGCAAAAATAGGGAAACACGAATTATCCTTATATATAACTGAAGTAGAGAGCGATAACAGATACACGGTCGATTTTCAGCTCACTGATAATTCCTTTGAAGACGAAAATGTGTTATATTAGACTGTCGGGGGATATATGTTCGAAACTAACAATTCATAAAAAGAACTGAGTTCAGTAGAAAAAAGAAAGGGAGAAAAATAGAAAAAGTGTGTGAATTCCCTTGTTTTTATTCAATCTCTACCTGCACATTTTAAGCGATAATTATAGTTTTTGGGGTTGTTTGTTTGTGGTAGCCCTATAACTAAACTAAAGTCATATTCCAATCACAAATCGCAACCCGGTATGCGCTCTAAATCGGCAATTAGGCGATCTTATCTGTTATCGCCCTATACTCGTGTGTTCCTTTTTTGCAGCAATTCACGTTTCTTCAAATCTTCATTACGCATCTACCGTGTTATATTTGCATTTCTGCCACAATGTCAGCACTATGAGTATACAGCAAACGTTTCATGGTTAAATTAGCACACTTCGGCTCAAGTATTAATATTGATTTCAATCAATCCAATTCTTAGAAAGTCCGGACTAGCGATAAAGAATATCCCCCCATAGATGAGTAATATACATTATGATGACACTGTTGACTTATGAACCTATGCCTTTTAGTAATGACATCTTTTACCATTAAATCATGTAAGTGGTCATTATTATAGACTAATGTTTAGTATGTATATAAAGTGGTTAGAAATGATACAGTTGTTATTAATTACCAGATGTGCAACTACCTGTAAAAGATATTACCTCTGGTGTAAACGCGTGACTATTTATAACAATAATCACTATTGGATATACACACCGCGACAATAGCTGTGTATATCTTTCAATAGTCATGGTCTTAACACCTTGGTGACAAAACACATACTTAATGACTACTGCCTGATTACTAACACTTTAACTGACTAATAAACATTATTGATATAAAATGACCACTTTGATCAGTGACTGTCGTATTTTTCATTTATAAAGGTTCCTTGTTGTTTAGTCAACCCAATCGACCCAAAATATATATATATGTACATAATATGTCTATGTCTGTGAAAATGTTTATTGTCCTATGTACATATATATGAAAACCTAACCATCCTAATATTTCTCACTAGTCACATTGTAAATTAATGCACCTTGTACACATAACACGTCATTGTCTGCGATATCACCTCGGTGGAAGCGGACGTAAAATACAACTAACACTAACTAACTTTAGTCAACGTTGTCTGCGATATCACCTCGGTGAAAGCGGACGTAAAATACAACTAACTTACACACACTTAGTCAACGATATCTACTTTATAGTCTATGTGACACATTCGAGCACAGAAAACGTGTTGTTTATGAAATTAATCTCGATTAAACCCCAGTCGTTACAAAAGCAGTATTTTTAATATACATGTACATCTGATTTATTCGTTTGTTTTCAACATTTAGACCACAGAAACCAAAATTAATCCACTGAAAAGTAAATGTTTACCAGCTCCACATACTGTATTAGAATTACCCTAAACAAACTTAAAGCACAAGCTTGCCATGCTAACTCAGCAATAACTATTTATATTGAATTTCACTCTTGAATTTCGTCAACAAAAGTCATAAAGGTCTTGTTTTTTTTTCTTCTCTAGATTCTACTACTACCCCAATAGAAAATTCGACTGTGGCACAATTATCCACTATCAGCTCTGATTTATCATCACCCGAGAAGCACGTAGGCTCTGTCCATCAACCAAGAAGCTTGTAGTCAGTTTCTAATCTTTAGAGAATACATAGTGTCAAATCTTCCACGAAGTATGTAGTCAGTCTCCCGAGAAGCACCCAATTAGTGGGAAACCCCCCTCGAATAATGTAGTCCGTATCACATCGCGAATAATGTAGTCGGTGTCAATTCGTCCGTGAGGCACGTAGTCCGTGTCAAATCTTCCGAGAAACATGCAGTTAGTGTCAAATCTCCCGAAAAGCAGTGTCCAGTATCAGGAGAGGGACGTGATCAGTGTTAAATCTCATGAGCAGCATGTAGTCAGTGTCAAATTCCCAGAGAAGCACGTGATAAACTCGTAGTCAGTTCCTAATCGCCTCTGAGAAGCCCCTGGTAAGTTTCAAATCTACCGAGAAATGTAAGTCATTGTAAATCTCTTGAAAAGTGCAAAATCTCTTCAGAAGCAGTCACAATCTACCGCGAGTACATGACGAGTGGCAAACACAAGAATAGCATATAGTGGATGTTAAAATATCCCTAAATTAGGATGTCAAGACCTCCCGGGAAGCACGTGGTCAGTGTCAAATCCTGGTAAAAAGCACGTGGTCAGTATCAAAACCCTCATGGAAGAACGTGGTCGGTGTCAAAACCTGTCACGAAGCACGTGGACTATGTCAAAACCTGTTGCGAAGCCCGTGGTCAATGCCAAAACCTCCTGGGAAGCACGTGGTCAGTGTCAAACCCTGGTGAGAAGCACGTTGTCATTATCAAAACCCCCAAGGAAGCACGTAGTCGGTGTCAAAACCTGTCACGAAGCACGTGACCTGTCAAAACCGGTCGCGAAGCACGTAGTCAATGTCAAAATCCCTCGAGAAGCACGTTGTTCGTGTTAAATTGCCCGGGCAGTTGGTGGTAAAGCTTAAATATCACAGAAAGCCCGTGATGAGTGACAAAATCTTCTCAGAAGCACGTATAATCCATAGAGATTAAGACCAGCTGTCCTAATTTTCCAGAATGAGGAATGGTAACATCTACCGAGAAGCAACAGTTCGGGCGTCAAGTGGCATTTTTTTCTCCTAACCCACTTTTATTTGATATACTTTTTTTTTCTCTCTGTGGATTATGCTTGTATACCTTTTCACCAAATTTTTCTAGGGTGGGTGTGTTCAGAAACTCAGATACCCAAGAGGGCGGTCAAAAATGGCGAGAAAAATGTATTAAAATTCTATTTTCTCACTACTAAGGCATGTAAGATGTCATTTTATATGTTTTCGAGGCTGCTGGGCACGAATCTGCAGTCGATTTGCCAAACCGATCCCTAGCGACCGAGGTATCCAAGTTACAGCTGCTTGCAGCTTATCAAACTATATAGAAAAAGAAATGATGTAATTTAAGAACACCAATCACCTGTCAATCCCTGAAATATGGCACAATAATATTACAGTTAAATCATTAAATACTTGATCACGGGGTTTTATTGAGAAGGGTTAGGTTTTCCTACAAAAGGTATTGCCATCAGAGATGAAAAGTTGCAACGAAAGAGTCACCCAAACAGATAAAGTCGGTGACTCATATTCAGTATGCCTCTGAATCACAAAACAGTAGGTCTGAAGTCCAAACCAGGTGTTTGCCGGGCACGTACTTTGGGAATTTCCTACATGGTGTGTTTCTTTTCAATACCATTGAATGCATATCTGGTATCACCAACACGTAAGTCTGATAGGGTATCTGTTTGTGGGTGTGGCTGTGAGGGCTGTGATTCTGGTCATGAATGCTTGAGCTAGATTTGCTCAAAAGTGTACCACATGGAAATGGTACAGCAGTGTACCTTACATCTTCATGTATTACAAAAACACTTCTGACATAGTGGGGTACTCCTGACTGAGCTATGTAATTGCCAGACGACAGCTAGGATTTGAAGTTATTCAGCACCACCACAAGAATCAAGAATGACCACTGTCAGACAGTTTTTGTGGTAACCCTGACAGGCACGCCCAAAATACCACGCACCCCACACAGGCTACCACCTAAATTTACGTGGAAGTTGTTCAGCACCACCACGGGGATCATGAATTACCATTATCAGACAGTTTATGTGGTGGGGTACCCCTGATAGACACGCCCAAAATGCCACGCCCTGCAACAAGGCTAGATTAGCTGAAGCCTGTACCACCTGAATTTTCTTGGAAGTTGTTCATCACGCCGAAAATGCCACACCCCGCAACTAGGGTAGGTTAGCCTAGGGATCACACTGCCCTCGACAGCCAAGCGCCTAACCCCCCCCCCCACACACACACACAAATGACTTTAACAGCTGGGTTTAGAATTATGCGTATTACATATTTTATGAGTATGTAATCTCTATTAAAGATTAAGTAATCGCATGAAGAATAATAAGTAGTGATTCAACTCAGTGACAATGACATACCATCCATCGGTGTTTAAAATATTATATGCATTAATATCTATTAGGAGAAAGTCCGGTTGCCAACCCCCAATTTAAACCTTGACATGGAAATATAGTTCACCTTATGTTTTTAGTGGATTATATATCATCAATATATCTATTCTCAGAATCTGGATGATTCCACCCCGACACCCTTGGGGAAATTTAAATATTTAAGATGGCCGACATGGGCCATTTTCTAGTTATATAATTTATACATAATACAAATTCTCTTGGACCTCGGTATGAAGGTGGTTTCTATCATAATTTGACCCGCTGAATTCAATGAACTTGGGTAAGGACGGCCAGCCCTCGATAAACTACTAGAAGGTTTTATTACTCAACAAATACCTTCTCGAAGTATGTAATAAAACCTAATCGGGTGCGTATCATGCAACATTCATGGTTAGTTTTTGTTATAATCTATTTCAAAATCGACATACTTGGTTATTCAATATCAGCTTAGCCCTTGTATCATAATAATACCATGATAAAGCAACGATTGGATCATTTATCGAGTAAAGTTATTGATTTATACGTGGTTTAAATCACCTGAATAGGTAATAGGTTTTATTATGTTTAAAGAGATCATTTTTGTTCGTATGAGTTGTAAGTCTCTAGCTTGACGAATGTAGGTGAAACACAGCTTCCCAGGCAAATTCTTCATGCAGTGTATTAACATGGATAACTATAATAAATAAATATAACCCGAATTTTTAGGTCAGATATATAAGGTGTGATATAGCCACTTTGACTCTACCCCGATCTCTCAATCATTTATAGTGAATAAAATATCTCTTATAAAAACGCTCGTATGTGACAGAAACCAGGGTCACCTGTCCATCCTCCTGGGTTTTCTCCGAGTCCTCCGGTTTCATCCCACTGATATAGGCCCCCCTGCACAAGTGAGTTATTGAACTAAGGTTTTACCATATGTTAGTCCCGAAATGACAGCTTGTGAAAAGAAGACGTCAAACATACCCCCTCTGTATTCAATATGGACATTGGACTATAATGTGACGTTGTAGAGAAGGTATTTAAATGTGTTTGACTTGTTGCTCTGTTAAACACGTTTAATGTTATTTCTATTGTATGTGCAACCAGGAAAATACTGTGTGTTGTCAACAGAATTAAATAACACACTAATGACTGGTGTCTGAATGACAAATATTCTTTACAGATCAAAGGGCAATGCACGGTCATTATATAGCAACTACTTAAAATTATATACGCCTGACCAATTAAACAGTTTATACAAAAATAATACAAGGCAATGGGGGTTAACAATTTGGATTTTTTATTTTTAGGTGCAATCCTTTTTGAAACGGGTCTAATTTTTTCTTTTCAATAGTTCCAAACCGTAGCAACCCGACAAAAAGAACTACAATACTTTGTCTTTCAGACGATATTATTTACAAAATAAAAAGAAGAAATCGATACATAAAGTTTAATATAGATATAATCAACATGACGACAGAGAAACGGTAATCTTGATAATAAAATTCTTGGAACCACGCCCAGATATATTGTACTGTTATTGTATATCATCCACAGCGCAATTGTCCTTAAAAGTAATATAATAAGAATATTGTACAATGGCTGATAACCACGTTATAATGAAATACTTCATACAGCGTAAAATCAAATGAAATGAAATTTAATGTCCTACTGTTCTGCTCCGATCTCATGCAGTGTGCTCAGAGGGGAATTTTGCCCAGGATACGCAAACATGTACACATAATCTTCATTTATCGTCCCATCCGGCCCCTGTCAAGCACACCGTCCTATCCCAATGGAAAGGGGAAACAATAGTGACAAAACCCGAGTTTTTTCTCAGCCAACACCGGGAATGTCTTTCACAGGGGAACAAATTGATAGTTTGGCAATACCGTTAAGAATATGATGATCTAGATCCGGGCTTGTACATTGTTGATAAAAATATCAGTGTTGGTTGGGAAAAATAGATTGTGATAATTGGCACACCCATAGCATCTACAATGCACAAGTCTATGGAAGACCGAACAGCTTTTTATTCAGTGTTCTTAATCCTTATTTCTTAATTCACAGTCATTAATTCTTATTTCTTCATTTGTGGTCGTATTGAGACATTTGTATAATAAAATTAAATTTCAGAAAGACAATTTTAAATTTTTCATTGTGTTTTTAAAATCATGAACTGACTAATACTGATATTGTTTTTCTTCTGAGATTTCAAAATTTAAAACAATGATTTAAATATTTATTTATTCTACCAGTGTAACCTGATTAACGTAATACCATGTCTGTTGATTGCATTGTTATTGTATGGTTGTCATGGTGATAACTGTAATCAATGTTTTTATACTGTATATATACTATTAGGTCATCGATGAAAATGCTTGTGTGCTACCACTCCCTTAGTTTGATTCTATAGTCCTGTCAATGTCATGTAGGACATGATTTGACGAATATTTAAAAAATAAGGCGCTGCGTCAGTCGGGTTTTTACAATTATGTTACTGATGACACAATATGATCCCAATGTTTTATTGTAACTAATGTCACTGTGACATCATCATATCATTGATTATTTATAAAGCGTGACGTATTAAAATCACAATCAATAAAATTAATTGGTAAAGATGTTAAAGGGAATTTGTTG